GAAAGAAACCCAAATCTTTTCTAAATGTTGTAACTTACCTTCATTGCAAATTCATGAACCCTGTCACCAGCCCACACAGGATGTGTGTGTGCATCTACTAAACCTAATTAGAAATAAATTAAATATAAAGTAAATATGAATTCTGGAGTTTTCAAAGTTAGCCATTACTGGTAGTACACAAGAGAGAGAGTATTACCAAACTTTAATAATGAATCATGCAGTTAGCAAATGCCTTGCATTGCATGTTTAGAAATTGAAAATGTGAAATAGAGAGAAACCTGTTGTTTGCATGTAACTTTGTAGCAAATAGTCTAGACTCTAGAAAGAGATTAAACATCTCTTGTCTTTGAGAATATTCATGCAACTTCTACAGAGTCTAATGAAGAGTATAATTGTAATTTGATTTATTCATTTACTTCCTAGATTTAAATCCCATCTTTCTACAGAAGCTCAGGGTAGTGTATATATACTATTTCCCAGTCCAAATTTATCTTCACAACAATACTTTGAGATAGACTGGGCTGAGAATTAATGACTGACCTAAATACTGTATTTCACTTTTATCTGAATTCCAGCTGCTGAGAAGTGGGATTGTGGGACAATGGACCCATCATTCATTCATTCATTCATTCATTTAAAATTTCTTATTTATTTGAAAATTTTCTATGGCATCATTCTTGTAAACATGCATTCAGCTATCCATGGATGGAAATATTAAATCTTTATATTCTTCAGGGCAATTTTTATATATTCTTTTTCAGGCTTTGCTAGTATTTCGGTTCTGAAGCTTCTTGATTTAATTGTATGCTGCTTGCTTAATGTATACATATTAGACAGTTGAAGGTTGTTTTTGTGCTACTCATTCTTTGACCAGGAAAACCTTCAGGAACACAAAGGAGCTCTCAAGGCAGAGTTCTGTCAGTTCTGTCAAGTTGGGATAAAATGCCTGATCTAAGATCTTCCAGACAGTTTTGTAACTGTGGTACTAGCTGAGGGATTGTGAGAAATGTACCCTCTGAAGATCTCTGGGAAACATCAGGTAGAGAAGGCTGCAATTATAACAGAATTAATAATAGAATGTACTAGAAAAAACAAGAAGAGTAGCCTAGTCCCAAGACATGAATGCTTGAATTGCACCTGAAAAAACACTAGAAACCACTACCGCTCCTGAAGCACTGGTATCACATGTCTTAAAAACCAACACCACCAGCATGTGATAGATTGTGTCTATGAAAGGGGAAATGGTGTAATGGACTACAGTTAAGGGGCAGTTTTCCTGGAAGGAGGGAGTACATTCCAAGAAGAGGGGTAAGATAAGAGGCAACACAACCTGCAGCTAGATGGGAGACTAAGGAAGAGATTTAGAATAACCACTCCCTAGAATCTCCCAAAATATTTCCATTAGGATTAGAATAGTATAGATTTAGTCTGGCAAGATTCCTTCTATACCATGTAAGCAAATAAAAAAAAAACTTGAACTTTGGTTGAATTGTTCTATGTCATTCTTGGGCTGGGCCTGACACTTGCTGCCACATTCTGCACTAGATGAAGCTTCTGGTTCTGATATTATATATTATACATTAAAGGTTCTGAAATGCTCAACAGACATATTCAATTTGACAGAACCATCTTTCTTTCAGAATGTTCTGTCTCTTTTACTCGGTCCTTTTCATTTCAAGGGAAAAGAAAGGCATAAAATAAAGGCATGGCTTGTCCCTCTATAAATACATAAATTTCTGCTTGGTGCAGTGAATCTTTTAATCCATACCAACCTGGTAAAATGCATTTTCCCGAACAATCAATTATTTTGTCAAAAGTTGCTCCAGAGAATTGCTCACGAATGGCCCTTGCATCACCAACTGCCTTTATATACCCATCTCTGAAAACAAACCACAACTTGTGAGGTTAAAATTCATGGAATTATCTGTCTCTTCCTAATGTAAGCCTTTCTTCTCAAGTGCTGAAGATCTCCTTCATCATGTGGTTTTAAGCACTATCTTGTGATCTACCAGTATGGAAAGAAGAATAAACTGGGGGCTAGATTGGGGCTTGCTTACAGATGAGTCTGGTCTGGAGAAATTGCTCTCTCTCATTTTTGCAAAAGGCCTAGAAAATGTTCTCGCACTCCTCCTCTGTATCCCTGCAATCACTTCCCATCTCTTTTTTCTTTTCAGAAAAAATAAGAGATACAGGTATTCCTCGACTTACAACAGTTTGTTTAGCAACCATTCAAAATTACAATGGCACTGAAAAATGTGACTTATGCCCGTTTTTCACAGTTACGACCTTTGCAGCATCCCCATGATTGTGTGATCAAAATTCAGATGCTTGGCAATTGGTTCATATTTATGACCCTTGCTGTGTACCACAGTCATGTTATCACCTTTTGCGACCTTCTGACAAGCAAAGTCAATGGAAAGCCAGATTCACTTAACAACTGCCTTACTAACTTATCAACTGCAGTGGTTCACTTCACAACTGTGGCAGGAAAGGTCATAAAATGGGGCAAAGCTCACTTAACAACAGAAATTTTGGACTCAATTGTGGTCGTAAATCAAGGACTACCTGCACTCAAACTCTTTACTGCTAGTCACAGATGTCAATCAATCCATTTCAGCAGGAATAATATGCTCCCATATTAGGAAAGAGTAAATTACCAAAATCAGTGGGGTAATTAATTTAAGTATATTTTGTTCGTTTTAATGAGTCTCCTCCATGTGTGGTTACATCTTGATTGGCTCATGAACTCATTGATAGTAGAAAAGTAGAAATGTATATGCATGCAGTGTTATGTAGGTTTCTTGGTGCTAGCTGGGCTTCATAAAAGGTGCTTCATGGCAAACTCCCATGGTTAATGCAAGCCGTGGCGTTCATGCCTATGGAGCTCTTGGTGCTCTTTGAGCTTGGTTGTTTGCTTGAAGACATATTGATGAAAAGTCTGCAAGCAAATGACCAAGCTCAGAGAGCACCAAGGACGGCACAGTTCAATCCTGAGCCAAGCATACTCTCTCTTCTGAAGTGAATTTGTTCTATCCTAAACTTTCGTTCCAAGAAAGTTAATTAAGTAAAGCAATAACCAAACGTTCTTAATCGCTGGATTTATTGCCAATGGGGGGGGGGAGAGAGACTCCACCGGCTTTAATGCTTCAGGCAACAGTTTCTCTCATTCGCCTCTCAGCTGAAAGACCAGGGGAGCTGGCCGCGGCCGTCGGAATGCCTCTCTGCCCAGAGCCAGCCACACACTTTCCCCCTCCTAAGATGCACTTACTTGCCGACCACCACGCTGGCGTTTTCCCTCAGAGCCAACTGCTGCATGCCGGCCTCCAAGAGATACTGCTCGCCTTGGGTGCAAACAAGCACCAGTTGCCGGGCTCCTTCGAGCAGCAATTTGTACTCACCGCCGGCCATCGCCTCGTCCGCCGCAGAGCTAAGACAGGAGCCGGACAGCGGCCCAGGGGCAGAGAGCGCGGAGCAAAGTTTGCTTGGTCAGGGTGGACGTCTCAGGAAGGGCCGAATTCATTTGCTGGCATTCAGCACGAAGAGGCGCAACCCAGCTTAATACGTAGTACTTCGTCGCCCTTGCTTTACTCACGACCCTGTGTTATCAGTCAGTTTGCTTGCGTCCTTGCGATGTCGGGGGGGGGGGGAGCGGGGCTGCCCTCTGGAATAGCCTTCCCCTGCATCCTCTACCCTGCCTTGCCACCCTCTGATTAAGGGTGGTGGTGAAACTTTTGGGTTGAGATAACGGCGAGAGGATGGATTTTACTTGGGATACAAACATTGTCTTGGTTCTTTTTTTAATTTTGTGAGGCTACCCAGAATCATTTAGAAGCTGGGCTGCCTGAAAACTTGATAAATAGACGCAAAGCAAGTCACAATCGGCTTAGTGCCACTATGCACTGTGATTTAGGGGCCATAATGGACTGAATCTGCACAGTGGGATTTGGAATTGTTTAGAAATAGGGGGAAAAGCCATGAGAAACGGTTGACACAAGAAATAAATGTCCAACCATATAAACCAGCTAACCCACTCAGTCACAGAGGTAAAATAAGTTTTCTAGATACAAAAGACGCCTTCTCAACCAAGGAAAAAACCAGTGAATCCCAATCTATTGAGAAGTTTTGAAATGGCAAATGGTACCTCATTGGTGCCACCTGGGACAATTTTTGGAAAAGAAACAATAAAGAAATGAACACACACACATACATACACACTTTTCTCATGTCAGAATGAACAGAAAGAGAATATAGGGGGCTGTGGTAAATCTGAGGTCTTAGCCTGGATGGCAAACCACAGCTGGTTAGGACCTCTGTGGCATCTGCTAGAGGACCAAAGTTGTAATTTCTCTCTTGTGATGGATTTTACTTATGGGATTTTATTTTAAGTGCTTGCTTATAATTCCAAAATATCGGAGGGTAAACTCTTAGTACAAAGCTTTAAAAGTTTATTTAGTAAGGTGTAGCATAAATTTCAGACCACAAAGCTTGCACTTCAATCCCTGTGGTAGAATTGCCACAGTCTTTTATAGTTTTCTCAAAGCAATATCCATTATTTCCAAATCGATTTCCTAATCGATTTTACTTCAATTGTCAACTTCTCCCTTGTTTTCTAGAAGGCACGCTCAAAACTAAGGTGTGTATTTGGCATTATTAGCTCAACCTTATGCATCAATGGAAGCAACTGCCATAGAGTTCAATGGAGCTGAGGTACTCCCTGGTCCCTCTTTAGGCTCCGATGAAGCGAATTTACTGCTGGGGTAGCGTGTATTCGATGAGAACAAACATTTGATGAAGGGTAGCAGTTTTAAACCCAAAGCCCGAGTTTTGTGGAATCTCAAGAACAGTCACATTTACTCTTCTGTTCGGAGCACAAATCTGTCAGAGCAACCGAAATAAAAGGGTCTAGTTGCATCTATAATACACTATAGCCCTCAGCTAAGTTTATCTATGATATTCCGACAGGAAGGAAGGAATCTCAAACTCTACGGTTAATCATAAAGGCATATTCAAATATCAGTTACAGGAAAAAATCAAGTCCTTGCACTTAAGAAATTGAAGGACTTGTTGAACACGAGCCACGAGCTCTTTCCTATTCAGACTCGGTAAGAATTGGGGACGAAGCCGCCAGAATAGGCAGCTGAACTGCGGAGTTCCGCCCTGTTTTGTGGGTAGAGTCAAGATCGGGCGGAAACTGCGGAGATTTATTGATCAGCTCCCGCGGCCGCAGTCCAGACCACAGGAACCGATTAAACCCCTCGCGGCCCAAGTAGAAGGCGGGGATGGGGAGGGGGGAAGAGAGGGAGAGATCCTGCGCCCTCCCATTCTATGGCCGAAGCCAGGCGGAGGTCCCTCGGGCGAAGAATCCCCACCTGCCCGTGCACCAAAGGGCTTTGCTGCCGGCGGGTACCCGAGAACGGCCGCAATCCCAACCAGAGTTCCGTGGGAATGCTCGCCTCGTGCCCAGCAGCCGGGCTCAACGGTTTCCCAGCGGGAAGTCCAGTCTGACCAGGCCGAGAGCACAAGTGCCTCAGCTGCGCCGGAGTTCGCCTGGGGCTGCTGGTTGCCATCGCCCGAGGAAGCTCTGCTGGTTAAGGTGAGCGGGGGTCCCTCCGGGCTCTTTTGAGCTCTGCAGGTGCCGGAAGATCGAGCAGCTGCAGACGTCGCCTCACCCTCTGCGCTGTGCCCATCTGTCTTTTCGGGGTTAGGAAGGCAGAGGTTAACTTGTCTGGCCGACATAGTTGCTCCCTCCTACGGCAGTATAAAAACATCACCCAGAAGTGTTGGAATCGACTGGGTCAGATCAGTCTTGGAGAAAGACATTCCGTGTATGCAGGATTTCTGGATGAAATTATGTTTAGTCATTTTAGTAAATCCTTCCACTTTGCTAAGTCACTAAACAGTATTGAATAAATTTAAACTACAGATAGTCTTCAGTAAACGACGGTAAGTAATTAGGACTGGGAACTCTGTTGCTTAGCAAAACAGTCATAAAGCACAATATCACATGACCGCAATGATTTATGAGTTCCAGTTCTAATGGATTAGGCAAATCCCTGTGGTTTTTAGGTATGATGTCATGTTATCAAAATTTGCAACTTCCTATGGTTTCCTCTCTGTTTGTTGGAAGCAGGCAGTGAAGGTTGCAAATGGCAATCGCATGACACAATATACTGAAGCCATTGTGAGTGCAAGCTAGTTGCCTAGTGTCCAGATCACAATTGTGTGACCACGTGGATGCTGCAATGGCTGCAGCTTTGAGCACATCTCTTTGTTCAATACCATTCTGATTTTGGTTGCTCACTGACTACCTCTAAAACTAGACTCATAGTAAAGATGTTTTTTCCCCCTTCCATTAAATTGTATTCAATTCTCAGAGACTTTCTAAATTAGTCTCTGCAGTTTTCTGGCAAGATTTTTCAGAAGTAGTGTGCCATTGCCTAGGGATAAGAGAAAGGGACTGGCCCAAGATCACCCACTTGGCTTCATGCCAAAGGTGGGACTAGAACTAGCACTCTCCTAGTTTCTAGCCTGATGACTTAATCACTACACCAAACTGGCTCTGCAAGAAAATTGCAGGGACTTGTCCAGGCAGCCTTGGAACACTGATGATAATTTAAAAGAATATGTTCACTAAAAGCATAGTAATACCTCTTCTAAAGGTCAGTCACAGTTGTAGACAAAATGTATTCTAAAATTGTAGCTTTGGAGCTAATATATTTCATAATTTAGGAGCAACCAATACTAGCTTCCAAATTCTGGTTGACAAGAACAAGATTCCAAAGCACAGATAAACATTAGTTTTGACATCTATTCAAGCTTGAAGTTGTTCCCTACAATAAGACAGGTGGAGCCACATACTTTTATATTTTTTTCTCAAAACTCTCTCCACTGATACCACCATACACTTTAGCTTGATATACACTATTGGCAAGTCACCAATAAGCATTCAAACATCAGAAAAAAGGAAAACAAAAATTATTTTTGATGCAAAAATTCTTGTTGTAAAGTATAATTGTGTGACCCACTTGCACACACATGTAGGACCATTTAATTTTCAGGATACCAAATGTATCATTACAGATTATTCAATTATTGACTTGCAAATTGAATAAAACGTGATTTCAGTGCTTCTTGGTATTGTGTTTTTCTGATTTGCTAGATCTAAGAAGAATTCTATGGTGTGAAAATGGCATCAACAAGTGTTACACGTAGTCCTTTTGTGGAACTAGATGGTAATAACATTTTAAAATTATGTAATCTTAATAATTATAAGATAAAATTCTAATTAGGGAAGCTACTTAATTCTTGAAAATGCATATCAGGAGATTTAGTATGAAGGAATCTGAGAAGAGTGATGCATTGTTGGTAGAATAGAATAGAATATAGCTGGAAGGGACCTTGGAAGTCTTTTACTCTAGAGCTTTTCAATCTTTTCACAAATTGTACCACTTTTAGGACATGACAATATTTGAGTACCACCAGTGCTTAGCAAAGTGTCAAAAACTTGATGACTAAAAAAAGGGGGGGGGATTTTGGTTTTACTGATTAGATTTATTTGTTGTTATAGAAATGGCTAGTTTATAATATGGAAAAGTAAAAAGTTGAGGTTTAATGTTAGCTTCCTTCTACTGCAACAGAGGAAGTCTGTTTTTCTCTTCTCCCCCCCCTTTCTCCCACTTTTCCCTCCCCACTGTGTCCTACTATTTGCTTTTGTAATTTTGTATTTTATTCCATAATCTAATAAAATATTACAAACTGTAGAAAAAAAGGGAAAAAGTACCAGTTTTAATTTCTTCTGTGGCTGTTCCTTTGCTGAATCCCTTTCCCTTTGCAGTGACAAATGTATGATGAATTTATCCATATTTATTAATATGCACCACTACCAGCTAGTTCAGGGGTATTCAAACTTGGCACTTTTAAGACTTGTGGACTTCAAATCCCAGAATTCCTCAGCCATTATGACTGGTTGAAGAATTCTGGGAATTGAAGTCCACAGGTCTTAAAGTTGCTAAGTTTGTAGACCCCTGAGCTAGCTTGTTGGCCCTTCTTCCTCTCTCCCTTCTGAGCTCTTTCCACAGTGTAGTAAGAATGAACCCCCCCCCCCAATCCTTTCCCTGTACCTTTAAAGACACAGGAATCAAGTCCAAAGCAAGAAAGGCTCCCAAAATAAAGAAACACATAAACTCTGGGTTTTTTTTCTCTTTAAACTGCCTCAGGTGTGTCATGTGTCACAATGTTGCAATCCTAGACTAAAAGGCTCCGGCAATTACGAAAAGCTTTAGCCTTAAATTAAGCCTGTTTACCTTCAAAGAAAACTTTCTAAAAGCCATAGACAGACTCGAGATAAGGGGATAAAACTAATTACATTTGTTTAAAGGGATTAAACCACACAAACCAAGCCTCTGAATTACAAAACGCTGTAAAAACTGTACAAAATCCTTATGGTAACCCAATCAAGCTGACAGCTGATCCAGAATTAAATAAACCCACCTCCTTTCCGACATGCCGGCTTTTCATTTCATCAGCACTGATTGCATTCTCCTGGCTGGAGAAAATGAACCAGGGGACCTTTTCTTCCAGCAACAGCTACTGCTTCTTCTTTGTCCCTGTTTCCTCCCTGACTGCTGACCTCTCCTTCTCTTTCCCTGTTGTCTTTTCCTCCATTTCCCACCCAAACCACCTCCTTTTATAACCTCTCCTCTCCTCCCTCTCCCCCTTTTCTTCAATTCACCTCCAGTTCCCAGCTGCTTCCAGAAGCACCAATCAGCTGGAGCCCTGCCAGCTCCTGGGGCTTCTGCCGAGCTCAGACAGTCCTGCAGCTGCCTTTCCCTCAGGCTTCAGCTCATTCCCCTCCCTCACTACACTTTGCTAGCAGTTGCATAACACCTGCCACGTAACAAAGTACCACACGTGGTACGTGTACCACCAGTTGAAAAGCCCTGTTCTAGTTCAGCTCCCTGCTCAAGCAGGAGAACCTATACTATCTCAAACAGGTGAATGTCCAGTCTCTTCTTAAAAATCTCCAGTGATGGCAGGCCCATGATTTCTGGGGGTAAGCTGTTCCACTGGTTGATTGTTCTCACTGTCAGGAAGTTTCTCATTAGTTCCAGGTTGCTTCTCTCTTTGATCAGTTTCCAACCATTGTTTCTCATCCTTCCCTCTGGTGCTTTGGTAAACAACCTGCCCCCCTCTGCCTTGTGGCAGCCCCTCAGATACTGGAACACTTTTATCATGTCTCTCCTATTTCTTCTTTTCTTTAACCTAGCCAAACCCAAGTCTCGTAGCTGTTCTTCATATGTTTTAGTCTCCAGGCCTTTGATCATCTTAGTTGCTCTTCTCTGAATTTTTTCAAATTCTCAACATCTTTTTTGTGATAAGGTGACCAAAACTGGCTGCAGTATTCCAGGTATGGTCTTACTAGGGTTTTATAAAGTGGTACTAGTACTTCGTGTGATCTTGATTCTATGCCTCTGTTTATACAACCCAGGATCGTATTAGCTTTTTTGGTTGTTGCTGCATGCTGCTAGATCATAGTCAAGTGATCGTCCACTAGGACTCCAAATTCCCTCTCATAGTTACTGTTTTTAAGTATTTGTACCTTTGTTTTTTCCTGCCTAAATGTAAGACTTTGCTTTTCTCCACATTGAAACTCATTTTGAAGGAGCAGATAAGGAGGGAGACCCATGCAACACAGTATTGAATAACTGGAAGTTGTATAAATATTTATAGAAGTATATATCGAGAAGATTAGATAAATAGAAGTATTAATGTAAGAGAAAATTAATCTTATTGTATATAATACAGATAGGGAAATTTGGAGAGAGGAGTTGCTCAGACATTGCCCCTGAATTGTATCTGAAGAGGGATGAGAGGTAAGAAAAGAGAGGAGAAAGAAAAAAGTAAAGGAGGGGAGAAGGAAGTAGGAAGGTTGGAGGAAAAGAGAAGTGGGGAGAAAGGGGAGGAGAGTGGTGAAGGAAAGAGAAGAGGAGAGGAAGAAGAGGGAAGTAGGGAAGAGGAGAAAGGGAGAAAGAAGGTAGAGAAGAAAGAGTGTGGATATAGTGAAAGGGGAAATGGACGAGCAACACCAAAAGTCATGTGTATGTATTTATTTCATTTTATTAAAAGTATCTTATATATGAATGTAAAAAGAATGTATGTTAACAACTGATAAATATCATGGTATATTTATGGGGGAGAGTTTGGAAAAATAAAAAATTATTTTTTAAAAAAAGAAACTCATTTTGTTGTATAGGGCCCATTGTTCAAATTTGTCAAGATCTTTTTGGATCCTGATTTTGTCTTCTGGGGTATGGGCTACTCCTGTCAGTTTGGTGTCATCTGCAAATTTGATGAGTTCCCCCTCAATTCCCTCATCTAAGTCATTTATGAAGATATTGAAGAGTACTGGGCCTAAGATGGAATCTTGTGGTATCCCACTGCTTACTTCTCTCCATGTGGATGTAGTGCCATTGAGGACTACGTTGAGTACAGTTTGTTAGCCAGCTACAGATCCATCTGGTGGTGATGTTGTCTATTCCTCCTTTTCCTAGCTTACAAAGGAGTAGGTTATGGTCTACCTTGTCAAATGCCTTACTGAAATCTAAGTATACTACATCCACTGCGTTTTGCTGGTCTAATCACTTTATTGAAGAATGAGATGAATTGGTTTGGTGTGATCTGTTTTTAACAAACACCTCCTGGTTACTAGTTATGACTTGTTTGTTTCTAGTTGTTTGCAGATCTGGTTTTTGATTGTAGGTAGGTTCTTTGTATATATTTATAGAGACTAAAATAAACCCTAATGAAATAATTAAATATATGGAAGAAAAGAATTCAATTGGTAGGTTAAGAAGCTGTAAAGTGTACGGATCTCTCATAGGTGCATCTATGGCAAAGGAATCTGTGGTTCTTTAAAACTGATGCTTCAATGTGGTCTTGAAGATCTAGTATGCTTTATAACCTTAAGGATCCATGCCCACATGAAAAATAATGCCTATTATTTTGTTACTGGCCATTTGTTCCTGGGAACCATTTTGTGAACCAGCAAATCCCCCATTTCTGTAGCAACTTTAGCACCTACCAAAACTATTCAATATTCCAAATACGCCTGTTGGCCAAAACAATCAAATACATAATAGAAGGTAGAAAAAGAGGCAAAAAAGCACTAAATTTCTTCTCTAAATTATGCTTATTGCTTTTAAGTAAATATTTTCTATTTATTTCTAACGCAGGTAGTCCTTGACTTATGACCAGTCATTTAACAACAATCTGAAGTTACAACAAACCTCCCCAGGGCTAATTATGATCTAGATTCAAAATTCCAATGTCCAAGGACATCCCTACCCCCCACAGTCATGTGATTGCATTTTGGGAGCTTGACAACTGGCCCATGCAACCTCCTGCAATCACTTGACCACAATTTATTGCTTTTTTTGTCAGAAATTGACATTAACTTCCAGTTTCAATAAAAAATGCCCTTTGCAAATAGTAGATTCATTTAATGACTGTGGCTTTATATCCACCACATTCACTTAACAACTGCCTCAAAATTGTGAAACATTCAGTTGTGGTTGCATGGTGACCCCCTTAATGATCAGCACGAATATAATTCAAGGATTATCTGCATATATAGTGGCATACCTATATTTCTGTACAGAGATTTTTATTGCTTCTTAATTGTCCCGCTTGTTCTCTGATTCCACAAGTATTCCATATCGTCACTTTGATATACTCTTAGTCAGAATCAGCATTAGAGAAGAGAAAGAGGGAAAAAAATAACTTTTTTTAACTTCTTGGAAATCCAGCCCTTTTGACCAACTGTCTTCACTAATACCTGATCTGGCCTTTCCAAACGTAGTAGTCTTTGCCACCCACAGTCTACTCTTCGGTTCTCCCTTCCAGGCCCTTCTGGCCCTCAGTTGCAGATCCCTCCTCCAACAATTTCTTGACTGACCCAGAATATCCAATCCGCATAGCACAACACACCTCGAGCGATGTCCAGCATCCACCAACAAAATACTCCACAGCCTAAGAAATCTATTCCTTTCTATATTTTCACTAAAAGATGTCTCAATTAGGAAGAAAACTTCTCAGTGTTTGTATGACCCTATGTATTATGCTGGCAAACAAGAACAACCCCCCCCCCCAATATTGAGACCATTTTATAACTCCATTCATCTCACTCTGCCACAGGATCTCTGCTGGAGATGTTGCTAAACTTTCTTAGCTAGTACGGTCAGTGATGAGAGATGCCTGGAATGATTGTTCAATATCTGGGGGACCAATGATTCCTCATTCCCTTTCTTAAGGAAATGGTAGTTCTTTAAGTTACATAACTTTATTATACTTAAGACAGGTGCAAATGCATGAAGTTTATTTTATGATAACACCATTTCACAGGATTCCAAAATATCTATGCTCCAGAATAAGAGGAACTATCTTGGGTTGGATTGCTGAAGAATTCCCTGAAGTTTTATTATTAAAGGCAATGGTGGGAGCAAAGATGATCCCCAGGTCTTCCACTTACAGCTCTGAACTAAAAAAATCTCTGCTTCATCCTTTATACCCCAAATGCCAAGTAACATAACTTGTCCCCTCCCTTGAAATGACCTATAACACAGTTAACAGTTATTTAATTTCTACTCAATAATATAAAGTTCATACTTCTGCTAGTGAAGAGAACATGGGGAGTAACTGAGGAAGTGCACTGTTATATTATGACATATGTTTTTGTGGACTGCAGAATAATTTATATTATAATTATGTTGAAATAAATATTATCTGTTGGGTTTAAGATGCTGAAAAATGACGCTCTGCTGTTTTTGCTGTAAGACTAACACGTTTGGCCATCTGGAAATAACTTGTTTAATGTGTCCTTAAGATGCCATATTTACCTGTTGCACATTCTAAGCTTGTAATACAAAAGTGTTGTATTACACTTCTTAGTGTTGTACTAAAATATTTTTTTTCAATGTTTTCTGTCAGAAGAATATAGGCAAAAAAATCCTTTTGAAAAGATGAACACTGAAATCTACCTTTACAGAGATATTGAATGCACAGAGAAAGAAATTGTAAGTATTCTACTGGTCAGCTACTGCCTTCTTGGCCTCTTTGGATTAGTTTCACATATCCATTGAACCATAGTTTGTTTTACCCAGAAAAAAAGGTAAGGGCAGTCTCACAGACAAACCAAAGTTGTCATGGCTTCTTACTAGTAAGGAATAATACTACTGATGGTTATAATTGCAGTTATGATATTTGGAGATAGCTATCAGAAATATAAATTGCCAAGCATATTACACTAAATCTACACTTTATAACAAGTTATTTTATTCTAATGGTTTCCTTATGTTAGATCAGCAGTCAAAAGTGTGCTTAAAATCCACTACAGCAGATTGAGTATACTTTCCATTAGAAGGAAAAGCACTGATTTAAGTGGATCAGGCTGATCCAATCATTCCCCACACACATACACCGCTGGTCTCACCACTTTCAGTTCAAACACAAATCTTGTTGTTTATTAGGCTGAAAAGATAGTAGTTAACCAGATCATTTTTCCTGACATATTTAAAAAATAGGATAATTATGATCAAATCTTTGGGTTTAGTGTACAAAGCAATATCTCAATATAACTGCCCCAGCATCAGAAAGAACTTTTTTTTCTGTTCAGAAGATATTAAATGCTATCCTGAATATTATTTAGGACTTCAGGTGCTTCATTAATTTGTATTCTTCTGAAATCTTAACTGGTGGCAAATCAGACAGTTGCTTATTATTCACGTCTAGACTAAGAAAAAATGGCTTTCTTGCACATATAGCCTCACAAATGGCCTCCTAGATAAATATTGCAATTGGTTATTGCAATTAAGTGGGAAGGCTGAGCATTAAGTTCCCACTGTTTGTTTTTGGGATAGCTATTAATTGTTTCTGGCCAACTTTCCTCTCCTCCTCCTCCTCCTCCTCATTTATAATACATTTTTTGAAGATTTATCTGCCTATAGACTCATAAATGACAGTGCTTTTTCACAACCCTGGTCAAATCAACGTTTTGACTTATGTTGGTCAGCATATTACTGATTAAAGTTATTATCTGCCAGCAGAATCAAATCAAATTTTCAGGGCACACAAAGGTTTTTCTGTGTGGGTGATTGGTAACAATTTAGGAGTGGGATAATAGAGAATAATGTTTGGCATCTCAGTCAAGAATATTATTTCTTTATGGGGCTTTATATCATCTCATCTTTAACCATGTTATAGGCAGAATATCGATCAAAATAATTTACACAGTGAAAAATCAACCATTTAAAATAAGACAGTAATAACAGTAATACAAATAATCATAAATACAAACCAGAACTTTCTGTATGTCTTAAAAATTTATTTTGGATAATCAAAAGAGAAAAGACAGTTTCTTTCTTTGGAGTCAAATAAAAAAAAGTAGCATATATTGTGGCTAATAGATAAGGTGACCAACTTTTTTACAATGAAAAGGAGGACACAAATAAATTGAAGAAAAAAATATTGTAAATAAAATAAACATTTTATTCATTGCAACAATAATACAGACAACTTGCATGTGCAAAGTTTGCCAGCCGGGTGTTTTGGCGCGCTGAGCAGCAATTCCTATTGGCTTTCGAAAGCCAATAGTGGGAGTAGCACAGCTCATGCAAAAGTTAAAAAAAAAACATCAAAAACAGGTGCTGGAAAGCCGTTCTGAGCATTCTATGAGGGGAAAAAAAAAGCCCTGCAGATTAGTCTTCAAATATCAAAAAGGAGGACATGAAGGAGGACACTTTTTGAGGGAGGACAGAACTTACAAAAGGAGGATGGTTGGTCACCTTATAAATAGAGCTCCTTAAATCAAGTGTCTTGGCTCCTCCTCCCCATTTCGTCTTATCTTTCTTCTTCAGTGAATTATTGGTAACTAAATATGGAGATTCAACTGTAGTTTGAGAACATGAAGAAAACACATTAAAAGAATCCCAGGCCAATTCTCTGGGCTACCATTTAGTTTCTCATTTAATTGGAATTCCAATAATTTACTTTCAAATTGCATAGAACTATAGTATACATTCAAAATATAAAGGACAACCTACAGAATCAATAACACTTGCCTAAATTGATTTTCTTTAAAAACTCCTTTTTCTGATATACCATTCTCCATCCCCATGCATGTAGAGTTGGGGATGACAAAATATGTGGACTTTTTAAAAAAGATTGTTAGAGCTTTAAGAATATTTGGATATGCTTTTATTATGTTTAAACATTGTGTTTAATGTTAAGCCACCTTGGAAATTAAAATCAAATCTTTACTATGGTCAAAGACCAACATAAGCCTTTAGAAGATTATGAATTTGGAAGGCAGTTAGGAAATGCATTATACATTTTCAAAAACTAGACAATAAACATGGATTTCAATTTTAGATTAGAAAAACTAAACAGAATCTGAAGACATATGAAAGGAGCACCATTTCATCAAGAGCCCGGTGTCGAAAGGCTTTGAGAAAACTAGAAGAAGTCACTGAACAAGAAACAACAGAAACAATTGGAAAAGATGTTCCTGCTCTGAATTGGGCTCTTGCTTTTGCAAAGTGTGAGTAAATATTTTAGAGAAATAATAGATTGCAAGAGCATGAGGGATTTTGTGACTTTGCGGTCTTGGTTGAGTTGATGTTTTGCTAGATGCTAGAGTACTTGAAATAACCCATTATTGTCTCTTTTCTCTAAAATGTCTGTGATTGGTTCAGGATCATCTGACCAGCTTAGTGGTTTCTAATACACAATAACATCATTGTTGTTTCTCCTTTCTGGTATTCTTGCACAAATGCTCTCAACTGGATTCCTATGCCTTGGTCCCTGGATCTCAAAAATGTGTGAACATCTTTCATATTTAATGTCACTCCTGCTCCCCTTTGTCTGCCCTAGTCTTTGGAGTAAGTGGTATCTTTCAATCCTTGCATTCCACCCATGAGTTTTATCCCACCAGGTATTAGTAGATGTTGTCCTTACCTTATTGCCTCACGACCACAACTTCCATCACTAAGCTAGGCAGTCATTAAGTAAGTCGTGTCCTATTTTGCAACCTTTTTTGCAGGGTCATTCAGGGAATCTAGCTCCCCACTTTGGCTTTGCTTGTCAGGGTCCTTGGGAAAGTTATGGATGATAATCATATGACACCCGGACCCTGCAATCGTTAAAAATATGTGCCGGTTGCCAAGGGCCTGAAATTTGATCTTGTGACCACAGAGACACTGTGATGAACAATGGTCATTAAACTAATGGTCGTAAATTGAGGATTACCTGTGATGCCTACTATCATTAAGACTTCTAGTTTTTCCTCTTTGTTCTTCATAGCCTCTAATTATATAAAGACTCTGGAAACCTCGAATCATATAATATGGAGAGTTCCTGTCAATTTACTACTAGGTTGGTGCCTTCAGATCCTGCATGTTACTCTCAGTAATGAGGTCACACTATTTTCTGGAGTTTTTTTCTCATCCCTCACTCATTCCATACGGGTGAGAAGAAGTCACTATAAAATTATCCATATAAAGGGTATATCTTCTAAATACATTTTCCCAAGCCTCATGTAGCTATGCTGAAACATCAACAGGGACCCTCTGAAATCTATTCTGAAGATTTTTTTAAAAAGGTCTTATTTGGTAGATTTGTTTTCTTCTTATCTTCAGGGAACCATGAAATACAATGGCATATCTCTGGCATGTTCCTCAAAACATGCTTTTGTGGAATACATTTACATAGTCATCCTCAAAATGGGCATTTTACAAAGTAGTTTACTTGAACTATTCTGTAAAACTCCTGTTGGTTCACTAACTAAATAAATTCTTAATTTTGGCTTTATTTCTAGCATAGTTTCCTTATCCTTTGGTTTGACATTATACAACTTCATTTTATTATGTGGAGAAAGAATTAATATTTCAATTTTTAAAATGTCAATTTATTTGTGTTAAGTCATTAAGACACATGGCTTTGTTTCTAAATATAGGCTGCAGAATATCAGGGAAAAAAAATCACAAAATTGTATTTATTTTTTTAAAGGTTGTCAAAGTGACAAACAGTCTATAGCAGATTATATCAGTGAAGAGAAGGAGCTATTTCTATTGGAGGTAACAGCTTTCATAAACTTTATAAAAATAGTAGTATGTGTATATATGTTTCTGCAGGCATCTTTGAAAACCTTCAAGACTTGGCTGTTCCCCTAGGTCTTGGGTTAGGTTGGTTGGAACACCTATTGAATTGTATAGGGCTGTAGTTATTTGGATCTTTTACTTTTTTATGATTCTTGCATTCTGTTTTTACGTTGTTGGCTTTATTGTACACTATCAGACTAGGTTGGAGTTGGGTAGTGTCTAACTTGAATAAGTTAAATTAAATATTTATCAGTATAGCATTTCTCATATTGATAGTCCTTTACTTAGGACCATAATTGAACCCAGAATTATGATCATAAGTCATGGAAATCCTTAAGTGATCAGGTCCGATTTTACAACCTTTTTTGGGGTGATCGTTAAGCAGATGCTCTAGTTGTTAACCAACAGAGCAGTCGTTAAACAAATCTATTTTATCCAATGAGGGCTTTTTGCTGGAAACCAAAATGGCCTCAAACTGGCAAAAAATATCAAAAATCACAATCATGAAACCACAGGACACTGCAAACAGCCGTAAATGCAACCCGGTTTCCAAGCACCCAAAATACAATCACATGACTGTGGGGGTATGTGGGTGTCAGAACTCTGGAACTGGGTCAGAAGTTCCTTTTTGGAAGTTCACTGTAATTTCGACTGGTCATTAAAGGACCGGTTGTTAAGCAAAGATTCCCTGTATGAAAATTTTCAAATCTATATTATTTTATTAAAATATTTTAAGCTGACTTGAATGTATAGCAGCGCCCAACACAGCATAGCTCATTGGCCCCAGACCTTTGCAGAGCCTTCCCTTCCCATCTTACCCTGCTACCTTTCAGTCCCTGACAATGTCCTTGGCTGTTTCCTATTGTCTCTCTGTCCACTATAATTATCTTCCAATATTCATAGGCAGGCCAAACAAACAGAACATGTTTCACTTACAGCACAAACTACCTGAAACCAGCTTTATCATGCACAAACTTATATGTGCAATTTTACACGCCTCTTGTGCTATGGCATAGTCATTAGGCTGAGGGAGAAGTGGAAAACAACTGATGAGGAAAAGTGGGCTTTGCTAGAATATCAAAAAGAAAATATGGTGAAAAGATCCAGTTTGGAGAGCTGCAGGGCTTTTTTTGTCATAGAATGCCCAGAACAGAGTTCCGGCACCTTTTTTGGATGGAACCTTGTAGGGTAGGCAAGGCGGGTTGTATGACATGTGTGAGTTCTGGCACCTTTTTTTTTTTTTAACAAAAAAAGCGCTGAAGAGCTGAAACAGAAAATAATCATGGGGCTGTTTAAGAATAGCTATAGTAGTTTGAAAACAAGCTATGTAGCTGCAGCTGATACAAAGAGACTAGGAGAAAGAATCCTGTCACTTGTAGGAAGATTTCATTAAATGGGATGTGAATGAACTAATGATTCCCCTTTACCAGTTTCAGATTCAAGAAACTGATATGAAGGACTGCCAGTTAATAATGAAATTTCAAGATTTTATAGACTTTTTTTTTAAAAAAATAGAATATATGTAGTTGTATGCTAGCTTACATTCCTGAATCTATCTATCTAAATGGTATTCATAATTTTCATAACAAAAATGTGACACATGTGAGAAATGATTGCAGGGAAGTAATTTGGGGAAAGTGATCAATGGCTTGACAGGAATATATAGGCTTGTCACTCCCACACATACACATGAAATCCAAGTGACTATTTTAAAAGCATATAGGATTTAGGTAATCAATATCTGAGTCTTAAAAAACATCAAGTTCTCTTTAAAGAGCTCAGTGCCAGATAAGTGCATGGGAATGATTTGGGATGACAAGTTATTGTACATTAAGAATTTTTATACATAACATTTTGCTATGGTTTTCTTTCTCCAGTACTCTGTTAAAATAAAACAGCGCACCATGGCAAAGCTGGAGAAGATGGCAGCAAGGGAAGAGAGGAGGGCCAGAATGGCTGAAGCAAAATTAGAAGAAGATACCTTTGCATTTGAGGAGTTTCTCAGAGCAAATGATAAGAGCTCTGTAGAGGCCCTTAAATTGTTAGTTACAACTATGTTTTTTACTCTACAGCTCATTGTAGTGGCCACATTTGGAGTGTGACTTCAAAGATTCATTGTCTGGTTCCCTCTTCTGTTCTCCCAAGTAAAAAGTCCTCAGAGAATCATTGCAGGAAATGGACACTGTCTCTTCTACCTAAATGCTTTCCTTTTCTCTGCGCTAGATGTGTTTCTTAGGTTGTAGAAGGTTTTTTTTTTGGTAAATTGGTCATCCTTGGCTTTTGAATGGTGTCATGGGGGGTCACATTCTAAAATATTAATGCCCCAGAAAAAGCAGTGTGTTAGACCAGTCACAAGTTTGATTTAATTTAGCTTATGTTATAGTAAATATAAATATTATTAAATAATGTCTCTGTGACTACCCTCCAGGACATTAATAAGGTCCCCATGTCACATTATAAACATTGTAATTCAGCAGCTTTTGCAGGAGTTTAAGGAGCCAAACATAAGACATTCAGGAACTGTATATTCCTATTACAGAATATGAATAAACATATGTAAAAGCCCATAGACAGCTGTTTTCTAAACTGCATCTATGCATTCTATGTAGTGGGCAACTGGCATAAGGAGTCTTTACTTTTCCCTAATCCAGTTCCTTAAATAAGCTTCTGTTCACCTCTAGATTCATTCCTGTCCAGCCTGCCAAGATATATCAAACCTATCTTTACCACAACCATCATATCTGCAATGGTAACTCTGGGATTTATGGTGCCCCCACATCAATCATTGCTACTATTAGTTACAATGCAGAACTGCAGTGGGCTTGCACACTCATATACTCTGAGTCATCCCAAAAGAGTTTCTACTGCCCTAGCACCCTGATTAGGCCAATTTTGTTCAAGTCCTTGCTTGAATAAATGAATTTAGCAGAACTGCAGAGTAATGTAATGGCATAGGAATAATAATAATAATAATAATAATAATAATAATAATAATAATAATTATAATATCTTCCATTAGGTAACTACTGTAATTTATGCTATTAGATTTCGGATATAATACTTCATAATCACTCATTGCCAACAGCTAAAGGGGCAACAGCTAATAGAAACTAACAATAAATTAATTCAGTTTTAGAAACAATTCTATTACAAGTAAAAAAAACTGTTTCTGTAGATGAGATTTCACTGTCTACCTTATCACACACAAAAGAAATGGGGAAAGAGTTTCCAAAGATTCCCAAAGAATTTCTTATTATAAGAAGAAGCTGATATTAGGACTCAGCTACCTTACAATTTCCTTTAGTCAAAAGAGTTTATATCGAGGGAATTTTTTTATTGTGTTTTTCATTTTCAGTATTTTCACATAATAACAGTAATTGCTGAATGTCACATTGAATTTTTTTAGTTTTCACATTGATGAAAAATAAATTTGATTGCTTATTTTTTATTTTTTTAAGTTTTCTTTAAAATTATCCTTGAATTATTTTCTTATTACATTTCTGGACTACTAATAGTTTATACAACTATCATCTCTTATTACTAAATTGAAGAGACAAAGATACCACTTCTTTCTTGGTTTAAGAGGTATAAATTGCATCTGAATAACTATTTCAATATATGGAAGAGGGATGATGACAAAGAGATCATTTTAATGTTAAATTTAATTACTGCGGCTAGGTTGTTAATAGGGCAATATTGGAAGAAGGAATCTTTGCCTACCCTGCAAGAATGTTTTTTTAAAGTTTCTTATTTAGCGGAAATGGCAAAAATTTCAGCTTTCTTGAAAGATCAATCGCAAGAGAAGTATCTTTTGGTGTGGAAAAGATGGATAAATTTTATACAATATAAGTATGATATAAGAAAATATCATTTAGCTTTCGAATAGTTTATATTTAAAATTTAAGATATTATTTAGAAGTGTAATTATTATTATTCTTTAATTTTTTATTTTTTTATTTTTTATTTTTTCTTTTCTCTTTCTGTTTTTTTATATATAATGGAGTTAAAGTATTTCACAATTTGTATATTGAGTGTAATTATATTTGTTTAAGGTTTATTTGGGTTTAAAACTTTTTATTTTTTAAATTCTACTTAAGCCTGTATTCAGCTCTGGGAAGAATGGGGGAGGGTTTTGGGGTGGGTTGGGAGGGATCGGGGAAGGGGTTTTTATTGTAAAATCTTAAAAACTTTATATATATATATATATATATATATATATATATATATATATATATATATATATACATGGAAGAGGGGTGCTTTCAAGTGTTGACTCCTGGCAATTGCCGGAGTCCCTGCAATTTTCTTGCTAAGATTTTGGAAGTGGTTTGTTATTGCCTGCATCCCAAAGCTGAAAGAGACAACTGGCCCAAGTCACCTAGTTGACTTCATACCTAGGATGATATAGAACTCAGAGTCTCCTAGTTTCTAGCCTGGTGCCTTAAGCACTACATCACATTGGCTCTCTATTTAAATATGAACAACTTGTATTAAAATAACATGCAGATTTTTTTTAGGGCAACTCAGGAAGCAAAATACAAAATGGAAGTAACAACAGAACTGAGGATAGCAATGAATGAACTGTTCTCCCTTAAAAGGTGAACTCTTTCTTATTGCGTTATGAGAGAAATTTATGGGAAGGATTCTTGATGATGTGATTCTTAGTATATTTTCCCACAATGCAGCATCTTCCTGCTCCATGAACTTGCATTTCAAGTACAAGGGTCTTTATACATCTGGCATATAGAAAGGCACCAAATTATCCAACATCTTTAAAATAATGTAGTAATCATAATGTACATTATTTATACCATGGACAACTGAGAAGTGACAACTGAGATTCAGAAAGCTGAATCTTTAGAACTATGAAATAAATAGAAAATTGACTAGATGTTCTTATTAAGCCCAAGTTAATGGTTCCTATTATTTTTATAAAGCATATTCAACAGTTCTTTTTTAAATTTCTGAACAACTTCACAGATGTTTGTGATAAAGGACAGAAAGTTTCTTGATGAAATAATCTTCCCCAAATTAAAGTAATTTTGAAAAACCTTGTTGACCAGATATAGAACTGTAGCTTCAGTGCTAATAAGAATGATTATAAAGCCATGTACTGTAATTCAGGGGAAATACTTTACTCAGCTTTTTCACATATTTTTAAATGTCTGTTAGGCATTGTACATCTGTAACATCTGAGGACTTGCTTCTTGTATCCCTTGTTTTCTTTTGACATGTACAGTGAAATTGCAAACACTGAAGACCTTTTGAAGATGTATTTATCCTATGAAGCCTTTTTGTTTAGTATTTCTCCCAAACCTTGGCAAGAGCAGCGGATGGCAAAGAGGAAGAAAGACCGGAAAAAAAGCCCATCAAAATCCCTTATTTCTTTCTCACCAGCTGCGGATAAAGCCAAACTAATCTCAGCCTCCATTGTATTACAAAATAAAATAAGTAAGTATATGGTTTTCAGTGGTCCACTGACCATTTAAATTGTAGTGTGGGGGAATACTGCTTTGCTGTAATCATTCTAACCACATATTTATCTTTCTCCAATAGGCCTTTGCCTTACCACATGTCCACCAAATGTGATAATACTATGTTATGTTTACATTTCCAACATTTATCTGACATATTTTTAAACATTTTGCTAATCTTGCTGGTGGCAGATGCCATCTATAAAACATTTTATACAGATTTTCTTGTATGAAGTTGACATTGTTAATTTGTAGTTTCTCTCCCATAACATTTGCCATTTTTCTAATTCTATATTATAGCCAAAAAATTTTGCCCATCTTGTCATTGTTTCTTTCACTTGTTCACTTTCCATATCCAAAATTAACAAAAAGTTATATATTTTCTTAATTAATTTCTCATCTGAGGTTAACAAAATCTTATCAAATACAGTTTTATCCTTATAAAATCCATACATTTTTACATCTTTTTCATATCTACTTTGTATCTGTAAATGTGCCCACCAGGACAAGTTAATTCCCTGATTTTCCAGTTCTTGTTTAGATTTTAATTTCCCATCAAAATCTAGAATATCTTTATATATCCATATTTTTTCAAAGTCTACCAAGTTTGGATGTATAAATGCCTCCATCGTAAAACTATTTTTTTGAACAGACTCTGAGCCAGGGTGATATGTGATCTTGTTTAAATATTTAGAATATTTGTGCATTTCTTCAGGTTGTTGATTTTAGTCTATTTGGTTCAGTGTTTGAAAAAGAAGTTTTAACCAACTGTATGACCTGGAATAATGTTTGATTAGATAACTTTATAATTTGAATAAATAATTAGTAGTGGCATTTACATCAAGATTAAAGAGAAATCTAAGAGCATAATTGTTCTGTTGATGTACAGCTGAAATAATATATGAGCATTCTCTTTTGCTGCATCCTTAATCTTAGTGTGAGTTATTTCCCTAGGCTTCCTGCATTATAGTTCATTCTCCAGTCGCATAATTTGGCTATTTACTTTGTTTTACAACAGTTTACAGTGGTTGCAGATTGTTCCCACTTCCTGTCAATGGTAGCCTTGTTTGGCTTTAGCAAGGATTAATAGAGCTACTGACTTGTTCATTTTTATATTTCTTTTTATAAATATGTGGCTCTTGTATTATTTGGCTACTACTTTTAGGCAAAATAGCACATCATAAAGGGCCACAACCAGCCAAAAAAGTGATAGTAGACAAATCAGCATCAGTCATCTTAAGCAATCCTGAGGAAAAGGCACAAGTTTCAAATAACCAAGGTAAGGAATAAGGAAGACCTTTGAAAGAAAGGAGCCTGGGCTTTGGGGTGAGATGTTATGGCTGATTAGACAGTTCTGCAGGTGGAGACAACATAGTGGTTCAATTGCCAACCAAGAGTTGGTTCTGGTGACAAAAAATTTCTCTGGAAGCAGGAGAAATCAGGAAATTACCCACTTGTGCTCTAGGAAAAAAAAAAACATGCAGCAATTTAGTTTCTTGTGATCAGTTATGAGTCGACTAATTTGGGAGGTAAGGGATTTACAATTTGCCCGGAATTGCAGTCTTTTTATGGACATTTGAATGGCAAAAAAAAAAAAAAAAATCACATTTTTAATCATGTCATAATTCAAGTACTTTACAATCTAAGAAAGATATTCCAAACAGCAGGGAAGATTAAAGAATTTCATTGTCTTCTTTTTGAAATTAAAAAGAGAAAAAAACATATCTTAAAGGATTTTAACTTAAAGGTACTTTCTCTCCATGGCAACCACAAGAAAAGCTGCCAAACTGGAAGAAGGATGCAGGGGTGGTTAAAAGAGCTGAAATTTACACGGTGTTATGATCTCAAAGAGAATTTTTATAAAATCATTGATACATAATGCCAGAGAAATTATTTAGAATGTAGAAAGGCACTTCAAATGTATGTTGGAAAAGTGATGAAGGAACGTTTTATCCTGCTTGGTGGATGGGTAAAAAAGCTAAAAAGAAATTGGATGCAATACCTACTTTGATACAGATGATTTTAAAGGTCAACATTCAACTGAAGCCAGAAAATTTTCTTTTAAGTTTATTGGATAAATAATTAGAAAAAAGCCATGAAACATTATTTCGGTATATGATCACAGCAGTGAGATTACTATATGCACAGAGGTGAAAAGATTTGACATTGCCCATTATGGAGGGATAGTTGAAGTTGACAAGATTTTACCGAAATGGATAAATTAATTTCTTTGATTAGAGGAAAAACATTTTTACATTTATTGCTGTCTGGATTTCTCTTATGGATTTTTTGCGTAAAAATGAAAAAAATTAACTTGTGGCATGGTTTTGATGATTAAACGGGATAGATAATAGAAAGAAGCATAAAATGATATAAATTTATAAAGAAAGGTCAAAATATATTTGCTTAAAACTGCTATGAAAAATATGAGAAACTGCTTCTATATATTTTTTCTTTAACCTTTTTCTTCTGTTTGATTTTTTATTTTGTTCATTTTATAAAAATGCATAAGATAGTAGTTGGGCAATGAGTACCTATTACATAGAATGCTTCTATTTTTGTTTAAGGACCAAGAAATATTACCCAGTTTGCACTGAAACACCTGGAGTTTTTAAGGAGTAAAAATAGATGTTTTAATCATTGCAGGAGTTTAATGTACCCGCTTTGCCCCTTATTATAGCAGAACATTCTGCATATTCCTGTTTAGGTCAATCCTTTCATAGTGGATTAATTTCTCCACTGTGTATGATATAATTTTAGTAAACTCTTGTTGCTAAATAAGAATATTATATGTTTTTCTTTTTTTGCAGGAGACTACAGGTTCTTTAGAAAGTCATCACAAGTAGTAATGGACCCCAAAATATTCGTAGATGATAAAAATATATCATCAGAAAGGTGATAACAATCTGAATTTGAAAAAAAATAAAACAAGCTTATCTATGGATACCAGCTTCCCTCCTCATCTCTCCTCACCTTTCCTCAAGTGGGATCTTTGCTTTACCAAGCATAATCTTCCTGCTTGGCATTAAACACTTACTTGGCAAGCTTCAGGGTATACACACAAATTATATCTAAATTAATTTTTCTTTTAATAACAGTGGTTTAAGTGAAACCAGCTTCTCTCTATCTTCAGAAGACAATTTTAACTTGGATGATATCCAGAATTGTGACAAAGTAAGAAATTTATCTTTAAAATATACATAGCTTAGAGTTGAACCGTAGGGTTCTTGATACTGATTTGGTTGTTTGCTTGCAGACATTTCATTACCCAGCTAGATAACATTATCAATAAAGTCATCATCAGTGATTGTTACTAGTTGGGTAATAAAACATCTGCAAGCAAACAACCAAGCTCAAAGAGTCCCCAGGGCTCCTCATTAATCTTTATTTTTTTAGTTATATTTAGGCTGCTCACTAAGGTTATTGTTAATTCAGTTTTGCATCATAAGTTCTGTGTGAAATCTTCTTCATGATATAGTCAATAGCTGTGGGTATTATATCTTCCATAGAAGATCCCCCTTTTTTCACTGACTTTTGCTATTACATTTTTGTTCATTTCACAAGTAGAACGTGGATTTCCTTTTTAATGCAGGAATTACATGGGCAATATAATAATGCTAGCTTTTTTTACATGTTCCAATGTAACTGAAGAAATAGTTCTAGCATTGACTAATAGTTTAGTATTAGTAGTAGTATTAGTAATAGAAACTTGAGTTCTACTCCTGCCTTAGCCATGAAAGCCAGCTTGGGGGGGGGGGTCTACAACAACTCACCACAGCCAACTTGCCATGGCCACCTTGCTGTAGCCAACTCACCGTGGCCAACTCACGGCCAGACAACTCGCCACAGAACAAGAGTTATAGTAATATCAAAGAAATAGTCAAAGAAAGATAAGAAAGGATGCCAAAGAAGGTACAAAATAAAATGTGAATGTCAAGAATTAAAATATATTTTTTAAATTCATTAAAATGATTAAATTGAATTGTTAAACTTTCCTGCAGCAACTTGTCCTGTGGTGAGTTGGCCCTGGCAAGTTGTCCTTCAGTAAGTTGGCTATGGCGAGTTGGCTGAGAAGAGTTGTCCTATTCCGCCAGCTGGGTGATCTTGGGTCAGTCATTCTCTCCAGTTCAATTCTCTCTCTTAATTCACAGGCTCATTATTGTGGGGAAAATAGGAGGAAGATGTGTTGGATATGTTTACCACCTTCAGTTATTTGTAAAAATAATATAAGTGGGATACAAATAACATAAATAAAAATACTACTGTTTTTGAAAAAGAAATGTGCTTCTAGATACTAGTTAATACCCACAACTTTTCATATATCACCTGCATAATCTGAATTACTGCAGGTATTTTCAGTAGTATAAAGATTGAAGCAGCAGAAAACGTTACCTAATAAATAAAGCAAAGGATTGATTGATTCATTCATTCATTCATTTAGAACAAGTTATTTAGATTAGATGGAAAGAAATATTTTGTTTTATATATTTTATCCAGTATATATTTAGTGGATTCAATCCAGTAATGTAAGGAGCGGCAGAACCTGCGGGCAGAGTTAAAAGAGGGATCAGCCTAGAATCTCTAAATCAGGGGTCTTCAAACTTGGCCATTTTATGACTTGTAGACTTCAACTCCCAGAATTCCTCAGCTAGCATGCCTGGCTAAGGAATTCTGGGAGTTGAAGTCCACAAGTCATAAAAGGGCCAAGTTTGAAGACCTCTGCTCTAAATAGTCACAAGCAGATTAAGTCCAACCTCTCTTGAATTCCATTGACCCCTATCTAACAGCTAGCAGGAATATTCTCAAATATTTGAGAGTCTTCCTGTGCATAGGCCTGAGTAACAATAAATCAGTTTAATTGGACCTTCACATTTGGACCTGATATTTTGCACCTGACAAGTAATCGAACTTATTTTGTTGTGTTCTCTATAGCAAATGGTGGTGTCTATATATATATCATAAACTTATGTCAGTGAGGGACACTTATGAAGCACTTCAGTGTGTATCAGTCACCTGTTCCCATCACATTTAAGCAGGGCTTTTTTTGTCATAGAATGCCCAGAATGGAGTTCCGGCACCTTTTTTGGATAGAACCTTATAGGATAGGCAAGGTGGGTTGTATGACATGTGTGAGTTCCAGAACTTTTTTTTTTTTTTTTTTTTTACAAAAAAAGCATTTAAGCATGTTTACAGAAAATTGGTGGCATAGCAAACCGTACAGTCTGCATAATAAATTGATAATTGAAATTAATTTTGCTGATTTATGCATTTAGTAATGAGGGAAATGTGGTCCTTTATTGCCAGTTCAGTATAATCCACAAATGCCCCCTTTACCATATTTCCTTTTTTTCAAAAAATGTTTGGAAACAGATGTGCCATTCCAGAAATTATGATTACTGTTTCTCCTTCATTAGGAGCCAGAGATTTATTTCAAAGACACAGAAGAGTTACTTCATATGTTCAGATATCTTGAAGAGCAAAACCTTTCATTATTCCAAAACATTCAAGAAATTAGTGGCACATTGGAAGAAAGCCAGCAGAGAGAGAAAATAGTTAAGCAGCATATGTAAGTTATTAATTTAATAGGGTTATTTTATATATTTTCAAAGTGTGAACATGCATACAAGCTAGTAGCAATTTATGCTCCAAACAAGCCTATTGAGATCTTGTGATTTTAGCCAAGAAAAGAAGCTGAATTCAGTAAGCTGCTCTTTTTCAGGCACAGCTGATTAGCTTAATTTTAAGCAGGGTGTGGGTGTGGAATGGTTTCAGCTCTTGAACAGTTAACACAGGGAAAGGTGTTTAATGTTAAAATCAAAAAGCTAATAGATATGACATACCTCAAAAATATAACATGTTTTGTGTCATGTGTCTGATTAATGAAACACTTCAAAGAACTTTCAGGCATTGTTTAACCTAAAAAGCCTTTATTAGTGTAAAGGAGTGTCAGCACGGCATGGAGAAATGCCAAGATCTGAATTTCCCTTCCTTTGCACATAACATTCCAGGCATTTCCCCTCCCCTATTTTGGAGTCATGATTCACATCTTCCAATTAACCTGGAGGGCAAAGATTCACTTCCATTTCCTCTCTCATTCTCATCAGAATTAACTCTAAAAGTACCAGACAGTTCTGCATATTTTGTCAAAGCAAGAATATTCAATATTAGCAGCGTTGATATCTTGGCTTTAAAATGAACCACTAGAACACTGAATAATCTTAATCATTCTGAACTTTGGTTAGAGAATTTTAGGGAGTGAACATACTGCCTTCCCCCCATCACCTTTTTTTTAAATGTCTGTATTACATGGAAGCTATCTTCTACAAAAAGTTTTTCCACTTCAAAAAAAATAATAGGGAATACAACATTACCCAATGAAATCAAGATTATTGCAGCTGGAAATAATATAATTAGGAAATGTAGAGGATATAATTAAGAAATATATTCTTACATGAATAAGTCATATTTTAAATGAGCCATCACACAAGATCAGTTTTTGTGAAACTGCAAGTAAGTGGCATGTGTTGGTTTAAACCTTGTGATTGTGGCACACCGATACAAAACTAGCTCAAAAGATGTTGCTGCCTAAGGCAAATCACAATGCCATGCACTGAAGTTGGTTGGACTAGCAATTGAATCTTAGTGTTGGTAATCAGACAATGCCTTCTATCCTTCCTAAGGATAGCAGACTATGCAGGGCAGGCTTTATGGCACATGGGAAAAGAATGACGATGGGCTTCAGAAGGCAAAGCTAGAGAGATGCCACAGCTGCCCCTCTAACATCTGCCTCCTATAAAGGCTGCCTTCTTCTGTCCAATGCAGGATAGCTCTCCACTCCGCTTCAATACAATTGATGATCATTCCATTATATGCTATTCTACTAAATGTATTGTTTTATACTTTTTCACCATTTCTTCTAACAGATGTTTTTAATTAAAAAAAGATATCTTTTGTAATTAAGGGGTTTTAGCTCTTAGTAGCAAATCATTTTGATAATTATTTTACAGCATTAGCCTTTTTATAATGACACTGCTACAAACTCAAAACCATTTCTGTCACAAATCACTCTATGACAATTTCAAGGAATCCCTGAGTCATGAAATTCCTATTAAATGTTTGGTCTTAGTAAAAATGTGCTGTTTCCTCTGCTGAAAAATCTTAGAATAGAAAAGCTTGATGAGTACTTCAGCTATTTAAAACAGACAAACTAATTTAAAATTCTGGCTATAAAGTTTTATACTCTCTTTTAATAGGGAACAAAAGGTAAAGTGCCTTAGAGACAAAAAAGAAGCTCTGATAGCTTCTTGCCTCAAAGAAGATGGGAAAAGTGCTGAACTGGCATTAAAAGCGAAAATGTTTTCTTCAGGAGAATATAATCCAGCATCCATGGTAAGTTTGAATGCATCAACCATCTTCATCATAATACAGATTGTTCAATTCTAAAAAAGTAATTCACAGTTTGTACTGATGCATTTTATCTGTATGTAATACCTTGGTGGCCTCAGGTGCAGCAACAGGTCACCTTTGCCTAAGCCCAGAAGCTAAGCAGGGTCAGGCCTGGTTTGTTCTTGAAGGGGAGAAGAAGTATCAAGGTTTAGGTTAGATTGGAAAAAGAGCTTCCATTCTGTTGCCAGGAATGCTACAGGAATACATATAGGAAGTCACCACTAGAAGGTGAGCTTGAACTATAACTTTACAATCAACTTTTGAATATTATGTCCACTGTCACAACTGGGGAATGGGCTGACCAAGGTTCATTACTTATAGACAAAGGAAACTAATCCTATCAATATGCCAGTGGGCAACATTTAGCTTAAGAAGTGCTAGAGTAGCAGATAAATACTGAGTAACATTGCAGAGCATCCAAAATGATCACCAGCAATTTATTATTGATATGGATTACAAAGTAATGGCTTTGATTACCACTATAATATCTAATGATGGTAATTAAATGATTGGTTTATTGATTTATTATATCCCATCAAATCAGGGATACATTAATGATCACAAAGATTTTCTCCATGACAATCTGTCCCTAATTTGGCCCTTCAGGTTTTCCAATCACGCACTCACAGCCACTACAATTGAATCCATCTGCCTTGCTGCTGGTCATCCATTTCTCCTTCCTTACACATTTTCTACCATTAGCGCCTTTTCCAACAATTAGGTAACTAAGTAAGGGAACTATAAAGCCAGAAGGTATTTAGGCTACAATTGACCTAACTTAGGGATATCAAATTGCTGGCCTGCAGGCTGGATGCGTAATGCCGAAACCGTGCCCACCCCAGCTTCGGCAATGGAAAAAAAAGTCATGACACATCACGACACGTCACGTGGCGAGTTTGACACCCCTGACCTAATTGATCTCCAAGGTCTCTTCCAACTCTTACATACTATGTTTCTATATTTGAATACATGCAAACATTGCAGTGTAAAAATCCAGCTTGAACATTTTCTAGCTTGAACATATGCAGCAAAGGGGAGACTACTTTTTTTTTTGCCTAATTTGTTATTCTGTCAAATTCCTCTTATAGTTATTTTTCCCCTACATTCAGCTGGCATTATCTTCCTGTTCCTTAAGTCTATTCCATGTCCTACATTCTGGAGAGACAGAATAGGTCTTTAATCCTTTTCCAAGTGGCACCCTTTCAGATTTCTGAAAAGTAATATATCCCCCTACATTCATGGACTGCTTGAAATATAGTCTAGCTGCTGCTGAATAAACTGTTTTTTATTCTTATTTTAGGGCCTTCAAGTCATTCTTGGCCCTGGTGACTGAATAGATAAGTCCCTGCAGTTTTCTTTGCAAAAATGATTGTCCTTTATTCTTCTTAGGGCTGAGAGAGCGTGACTGGCCCAAAGTCATCCAGAATGGCATTCTGGAGGAGCTAGCTTATAACCTCTCAATCTCTTTAACCAGCTACAACCCAACTAGCTCTGAAACATGTGGTTGAGAATCTGTATTTGTATTAAAATAAAATTGCATAAGACTATTTAGCAGCCACATTGTAATTTTGACCAATACTGAGATTGTAATCAATTACTATTTCAAAAACAATTGTTTTTAATTATTTCCAATATCCTTTTAATATAGCCCTTTCACTGTAGCTAGTCTACCAATTTTCTTTTTTATTCTGAGCATATATAATAAAGTCCTTTTTTATTCTTGCCAGGATTTAGACTGTATTGCTGCCCAATCAGATCAAGTCAGCCAAAGTTGCCACGCCTGTCCTGGACCATAGATCCCAGTCTTGACTTGATCTTGCCCAGGACAGACGTGCAAGTTTGGCTCTTAGGCAGGTATAGTCTATATTGGTGGATTCCCTTTCTCCAGTAGCTTTATTGTGCTGTAGTTAGCACAAAATTTGTCCTAGATTTCCTAAAGTATTGTCTCTCCCCCATTCAGAACCTTGGAAATTGTGTCCAATCTCCTGGATTGGGGGGGGGAATAATACTACTAACTTGTTGGGGGAAGGGGATTCCTTTTTGTACACATTCTGACAGGCCGCCATTTTGTAAATGGCCGCCATTTGGCACCAAAACAGGCCTGTTTTTGATCCAAGCCTGCTGTCAGGAAGACAGAAACTAAATTTCATATTCCAGTCTGGGTCCTCACTGAGAGAAATTGTCATCAAGCACTCACTTTCAGGGTTTGGTGTCTCCTGATCCACTTGTCATTGTCCATAACACCTGGCTCCACTCAGATTCCAGACACTCCCAACAGTGTGTCTGTTTTTATCCGAGTAACATCTGTACTTGGATCCCAGGCGCCCCCATCAGTGTGCCTGTCCTCATCCAAGATATTTCACGCCGGATTCCAGACACCCCCAGTAGTGTGTTTGTCCTTATCCGTGCACAGCCACAGTTGGATTCCAGGTGTCCCCAGTCATGCGCCTGGCCTTATCCATGCAGGGCTGTACCTGGGTTTCAGACGTCCCCTGTAGTACGCCTGTCCTTACTCAGTGTAAAATACTCTCCAGATACCAGGAGCCCCCTGTAGTGTTCTAGCGTTATCGGAGAATGGAAGAGGCGGCGTTTGCCTCAAAAGGAGCCTTGCCATCCTGATCAGGTCAGCCTGGACTGGAAGGCATTGACAAGATGGCAGCCAAATCTAAGGTTAGATCTGCCACGAAAATTTCCAGAAGGATAGACAAGCAGGCCAACCAGAGACACCAGGCCTTAGAAAAGGAGTTCTCCAAGGCTCAGAAAAGAGCCAGGTTGGAGATAACTCACGAAGGGTTAGCCCTTGACTTGCCCCTGGGGGCGCAATCCTCCCCTTTGGGAATCTGGTCAACAGGAGAATCCTCACATTCTCCTGCGCAGGGCGGGACAGGTGAGTTTTCTTCTGGTCCCCAAATTCCTACTACACAGGTTCCTCAGGGAGCTCCCGAGGCCACATTTACCCCCACTGCCGCAGGGCTCCGATCTGCTGAACCGGCCTCCTTCCCTATGGAGGACCATCTCGCATTATTGATAGCGCAAGCAGTAGACTGAGCCCTCAACGCAACTGCACAGGCTTCCAGACCAGCAACCTCCATTCCTCACCCTATTCAACAACCAGGGTCTGAGGCCTATCATAATCCTTCCTCCCCATCTGGGTCATCAGTGTCTGAGGATTCTTACTTTCACCATCCCACAGAATAGGATATCCCAATGTCTGAGGAGGAGGAAGCTCCTCCAGAGACCCCTTCCTTCAGTCGCCTCTTTAATCCTTCTTTTTTTATAACCTTGTTATGTAAGGCCACATCCACTGCCCATCTCGGTCCTGAGCCTGCATCAGCAATCACTCCCGCTCCCCCGGACTCGGAGGCAGACCCGAACTTCGTGGAACCGGTCACGGCTCAGCACCGCATTCCTTGTCCTTCCCTGTTTCTGAATGCAATCCGGAAACAATGGGCTTCTACTGTGTCTCTTCCCTATCCAGGTAACATTGACAAGAAGTTGTGCAATGTTGCCAAGGATCTAGAGGAGGCTCTAGAGGTTCCAACCATGGATGACCCCTTGGGCCCCATAGTATCAGCCACTGCCATATCCGGAGACTTTGCAGAGGCCCTGAAGGCTGACAATCGCAAGTGCGAATCCACTTACTGCAGAACGCACCAAGCGGCTGCTTGGGCGATCAGAGCCACAACCTCCGTATCCTTTTTCAGTAGGGCCATTCTCTGCTGGCTCTGGCATCTTCAAGCCCGGGTTCCAACAGAGGACATCCGCACACACCAGGATCTCAGTAAGATGGTAGCGGCCACCGAGTATGCGTCTGACGCAACCCGCCAGGTTTTTGTCCAGGGCTATGGCGTCCAGCATCACTGGTCGCCATATGCTGTGGCTGAAACACTGGCAAGCCAATGCAAAATCCAAGTGGAAGTTGGCAGCTGCTCCATATCAGGAGAATAAACTATTTGGGGAGGTCCTAAATCCATAAATTACTGACAATAAGGACAAATGTAAGATACTTAAGCATCTCCTCAAAAAGCCGGACAAAGGCTCCAGTTACTATCCACGAAGACAGTCCTTTCGTGCAGGAGCCAGATACACTTACACCCAGTCCTTCCACTCCTTTCCGGCCAGGCAGAATAGACAGGACAGATAGGTGGATAGGCAACCTCCCAGACCCAGACAACAACCTCAGGGTAAATGCTCCTTTCAAGAAAACAACAGACCTTACCGCCGCTCTAGGTGACTCACCATCGGTACCTCCCATAGGGGACAGACTCTCCTTGTTTGCCTACCAGTGGGAGGCCACCACCACGGACGCATGGGTGCTCAACACCATTCGTCATGGTCTTTCCCTAGAATTTGTCACCAACCCCCTGAATCGGTTCCTCTCTTGTCCATACCCCCGGAACCGAACAAAGAAAAGGTTGATGAACGAAGTCGTTCATCACCTTCTTCACATACGGGCCATAGAACTAGTACCGCTGGGTCAGAGGGGTCAGGGATTTTACTCCATCCTCTTCGTTGTTCCAAAAGCATCAGGGGGATGGAGAGCCATTTTAGATCTCAAGGCCTTGAATTTTCATCTTGTATACCGCAAATTCAAGATACAAACGCTCTGCTCCATCTTGGGAAGCGTAAGGAAAGGGGACCTCCTAATGTCCATCGATCTCACGGAGGCATACCTCCACATCCCTATCTCTCTGACCCACCGACAGTTTCTACGGTTCACATACAAGGGGCGCCACGTTCAGTACAGGGCGCTCCAATTTGGCCTGTCATCGGCTCCCAGAGTGTTTACCAAGATCCTGGCGGTTCTAGCAGCACATTTAAGAATGATTCCAGTCAGGGTCCAATGCTATTTGGACGACATATTAATCCAGTCATCGTCCACCCAGTCCGCCATGTCATATCTAGATCTGGTGGTAAAGCTACTTCAGAATCACGGGTTCTCAGTAAATTTTCTAAAGAGCCACTTGGTGCCCACAACAAGGCTGCTACACCTAGGCATTATCATAGATACCGTGGAGTGCCGGGTGTACCTATCTCCAGAATGTCGAGACAGTATAAGGGAGTCAGTCCTCCAAATTCACAGGAGTCGGTCTGTAATGTTGGCCAGTCTCTCCCAACTACTAGGGAAGATGATCTCGGCCATAGCAATCATGCCGTGGTCCAGACTCCACATCAGGGAGTTACAATGGTTCATGTTGCCGTTCCCGAGGCAGAACCTCAGCGCTTCCCAACAGAGAGTAAAACTCCCACAACAAGTATTGCGCTCCCTCAGGTGGTGGCTATCACCAGCCACACGCAGAGGGTCATATTTCAAGGAGCCGGACCGAATAGTGCTCATGACAGACACCAGCCTGTTCGGCTGGGGAGCACACCTTCAATCACAGTGGGCACAGGGCCGATGGTCCAATTTGGACCTCTGACACAACATAAATTGGCTCAAGCTACGGGCTATTCATCTAGCCCTTCGTCACTTTCACAGCCGGGTGGCACGTCGCCACGTTCTGGTCCTCAGTCTAAACCCATTGGTGGATTCTCCATCTCCGTGCTGAGAAAAGGCGTTCAGGTAAGACAACGCCCCTTCCAACACTGAAACTCTTTCAGTGAATTCAGGACGGGCCACTAAGGAGCAGGATGTTTTAACCTTGAACTGAACACCTCTTCTTCCAATGTGCATTAGGTTCTTTCATTTGTGTTTGCATACACAATGGTTTTATGCCTCTTTGACCACCAAACTATCTATTTTTTAACATTACCCTTTTGAATTTGCCTGATGTATTTTGCCAGTTTTGTATTGCTAGGTCTTGTTCACTGAGCAAATACCATTTTGCTTATACATTATTTTCTTCCCTTTTAGCATGGTTCAAGAAATATATAATTCTTACTCTAAATTTGGGAAATGCTTACTTCTAGTATTTAGCTTTAATATTTCATTATAAGTTTTCTAATGTAACCTCAGAATTTGCCTCATTTTGTTTATGTATTTATTTACTAAAATATATTCTCTATTCCATTCTCAAGACTAAAGTAGTTAATGATATTTTCTTCTTTATTTCATAAGAATAAAATACTGGATTCGCTTACTAAAAAAGTAGCAGAAGTATACAAAGTTTGCTGTGGGACACAGGAAGTATCCAGCATGAACTCATTCCAAATGCTAAAAAAAATAGAAATGCGAGTTTCAGAACTCTGTGAGATGTTCGATATACTTCCAAAAGAGTATCTTGAGATCATTGAAGTCACCGAAAAGCTCAGAGCAAAAGAAAGACGACAAAAGTAAGAGTTTGCCAAAATATCTCATCAATGAACATAATTTTAACTCTGAATTCTAACACCATTTTTAACCAATATTGAGATTGGCCATGTGTCCAGCTTTTGACCTAAAAGGTAGACAAATCAACATTTTATGTTTGCTGGATGCTTTCAGGATCCCCAAGGCCCCTTTAATGTGTGTGTGTGTTTGTGTGTGTGTGTGTGTGTGTGTGTGTGTGTGTGTGTGTGTGTAAACAGTTACAGAATGTTGGACATATCTGAAGAGATCAGATATGTATTCACTACAGAAAATAGCAGTCAGCAATGCTGAAAGTGCTAAGTGATGGAGAATATGGACAGATAGAAAGATTATTCCCAAGAACCTCAACACATGATTGGTGACATAATGGAAGATTATATTTGTTGCATTACAATATGATAATATAAATAGGGAGCCTCCATTAATGATCAGAAAGCGTTTGCAGGCATGGCAAACTCGTGACATCATGTGACATTGCACGACTTATTGGGACTTTTTCCTCATTGCTGGCAATGGGGTGGGCATGGTTTTGGCGTGACACATCCAGTCCGCGGGCCGGCAGTTTGACATGCCTGGTTTAGAGGATTTAGAAATAAGAAACACATGAGTATGCAAACCAAAAATATCTCCCAATTTAGCAAAAAAAGTCTATGATTAAAAACTGTAGGATGTTCAGCCTATAGCAGTGATGGTGAACCTTTTAGAGACTGAATGCCCAAACTGCAACCCAAAACCCACTTATGCATTGTCAAGTGCCGGGTGGATGGGGCCCATTGGCTGGGTGTGGCCCATTGGGTGGGCATGGCCCGTGGCTGCGGTGGTAACGGCAGACTGGATGGGACTAAAAAGTTCAATCAATCAATTCCAACTTTGCAAGATCTTTTTTTTCCCACAAGAAGTTGAAATTGACTGTTTGAACCTTTTTTTTTTTTTTTGCACATGGCGACGGAGGCCTAAATCAAAAAGGTTTTATAAAACCCAGCTGAAGGCCTAGGACTGGGGCGACGGCACGCGTGCCCACAGAGAGGGCTCTGAGTGCCGCCTTTGGCACCCGTGCCATAGGTTCGCCACCACTGGCCTATAGCATTGGAACTCTATCGGGGGAAAAATATGTGGATAGAGGGAAGAAAAGTTCAGACATTAGGAAGTTTTCTCACCAATATAATGCATAAGATTTCCCATCTAGTGGGACAATATTTGTGGGGGTTTCACTTATAGAATATTATTCTTGCCCATTAGGACACTCAGCTTTGTCTTCTAAGATGAACAAATGTAGCACTTTCTTAGTAGCAAAGCAAATGTATAACTGATGTAATTATACAGTATAAGGATGAGGTGCTAAGTACTTTTCATTAGAAGACCTTTTGGCACCAATGGAAGCTGTATTCAGAAGGCATAAAGAAAAAGCATGGAGATTTCCTTTTGACTGGCGCAAGAAAAAAGAGGTTGAAGTGCAATCCCTCACACAGACAGGGTGTGTCCATTGCAGGTTTCCAATAAGTCACTATGACCTTCTCACTATCTGGTCTAACATGTTTTTTTTCCTCACTGAAATAATACTGAGTTCTTCAGATTTAAACATAATAAAATGCCATACCATCAGGGAACATTAAAAACAAAGGAAGCTTTTTTCAGACAATAAACTTTTCATTTTTAAAGTTTTCCCTTTTTCCGTTCTTGAAGGATACGTGAAGACAAATTGAAAGAACTTAGAAGAATTCAGGAAGAACGGCTGAAGCTTGCTCTTGAGAGAGCAATTGCAGAACCAAAGAAAAGGGTTGGTAGTCGTGCTTTAAAGATGTCTTCTTGGATTGTGCCAGCTGATAGTGGAATAACAGCTTGCCCAGCTACTTTGTCAAAGCCTAAACTATTTGTAGTTAAAACTTTCACTAGCATCTTATGTTGTATCTAATTATGCCTATTCTTGACTTGTGAATTATGTGTTCTACCCATTTAAGGACAGACATGTTCCTATATACAGAGTCATCCTACAATATAGTTTAGTAGTGGTTGCAATTTTTTAATAAGATTTATAAATATTTGGTCAAAGATTGACTTAAATAGATGTACTGTAAGAACAAGATTAGCTAATGTAGCAACATTATCTACCCATGTGTGTTTTTGGAATGATGCCTAATGAAGTTATAATAATTATTCAAAAGAGATGCTTCATAATGCACAGGAACATAGAAAGCATGAAGACATTTATTTGCAAAGCTTGACTATTTCAGAAGCTGCTCCCAGCTGTCTCCATGAGCAAGTAGCTTTAGCCGAATAGCTATAGATGTACATGGAGAGAGATAACAGCAACTTCTGAAGCAGCTGAACAAATCTGAAAAATAATGTCAGTTTGAAATCTGAAAACAGCTCCTTTGCACACATTATTTTGGAGCACCTGTTGAATACTTTGCTATAACTCTGGTATTATCTTGGGCAATAGTAATATGGTACACCAAAAAGAAAAGAAAGGGCAAATGGGGCTTGCAATGGGAGAATTTGCCTTACTGACCTCTGCCTTAAAAAGTTGACATTATTTTGCCCGTCCCCTTGCACCTACTAATCTGATTACCTACTATTTGATTCAGCCATGGTAAATATTCTCAGTGAAGGCCAGTATTTCTACCCACAATTTAGGATTATAATCCTGTCAATTGCATGCAACATGGCCAATGGCCCAACATCATTAAAGAAAATACAGCCTTGGAGGCTACTGTTGTGCGTGTCACGAGGTACCCCTCCCAGTAGAGATGCCCTATGCTTCACCAAAGTCAATTAAGGGTGTCCTTGTCATAGCATGGCTGTGTATTTTGTGTATTTTGTACGTTTGCCTGCTGATAAAGAAATGATCAGTCTATAATTTTAATGGTTTATTTTAACAGTGAAACAGAATAACAACAAAAAAATCCAGAAAAATGCATTTCAAAAAAGTTATAAATTGATTTGCATTTTAATGAGTGAAATAAGCATTTTATCTTTTCGCAAAACATGATTTAGTACTTGTTGGCAATCACAGAGGTCAGACGTTTCTTGTAGTTGGCCACCAGGTTTGCACACATCTCAGGAGGGATTTTGTCCCACTCCTCTTTGCAGATCCTCTCCAAGTCATTAAGGTTTCGAGGCTGACATTCAGCACCTCGAACCTTCAGCTCCCTGCACAGATTTTCTATGGGATTAAAGTCTAGAGACTGGCTAAGCCACTCCAGGACCTTAATGTGCTTCTTCTTGAGCCACTCCTTTGTTGCCTTGGCCATGTATTTTGGGTCACTGTCATCCTGGAATACCCATCCACAACTCATTTCAACACTCTGGCTGAGGGAAGGAGGTTCTCACCCAAGATTTGACAGTACATGGCCCCATCCATTGTCCCTTTGATCCGGTGAAGTTGTCCTATCCCTTTAGCAGAAAAACACCCCCAAAGCATATTTCCACCTCCATGTTTGATATGAGGATGGTGTTCTTGGGATCACAAACAGCAGTCCTCCTCCTAACACGGCAAGTTAAGTTGATGCCAAAGAGCTCGATTTTGGTTTCATCTGACCACACTTTCACCCAGTTCTCCTCTGAATCATTCAGATATTCATTGGCAAACTTCAGACGGGCCTGTACATGTGCTTTCTTGAGCAGAGGGACCTTGTGGGCACTGCAGGATTTCATCTTTCATGGTGTACTGTGTTACCAATTGTTTTCTTGGTGGCTATGATCCCAGCTGCCTTGAGATCATTGATAAGATCCTCCTGTGTAGTTCTTGGCTGATTCTCACCGATCTCATAATCATTGAAACTCCACGAGGTGAGATCTTGCATGGAGCCCCAGACTGAGGGAGATTGACATTATTTTGTGTTTTTTCCATTAGTGAATAATCACACCAACTGTTGTCATCTTCTCACCAAGCTGCGTGGCGATAGTCTTGTAGCACATTCCAGCCTTGTGTAGGTCTAGAATCTTGTCCCTGACCTCCTTGGACAACTCTTTGGTCTTGGCCATGGTGGAGAGTTTGGAATCTGACTGATACAGGTGTCTTTATATAGGTAACCAGCTGAGATTAGGAGCACTCCCTTTAAGAGAGTGCTCCTAATCTCAGCTCATTACCTATATAAAAGACACCTAGGAGCCAGAAATCTTGCTGACTGATAGGGGATCAAATACTTATTTCACTCATCAAAATGCAAATCAATTTGTAACTTTTTTGAAATGTGTTTTTCTGGATTTTTGCTGTTGTTATTCTGTCTCTCACTGTTAAAATAAACCTACCATTAAAATTATAGACTGATCATTTCTTTATCAGTGGGCAAACGTACAAAATCAGCAGGGGATCAAATACTTTTTTCCCTCACTGTATAATTTATATGCTTTCAGTTCAGGTCTCTGTGTGATCCAGGACCTGATAAAGAAAGATCCTGGATTGTGTTGACAGTTGTATCCATTTCATGTTCAAGCAGTACAATTCATTTTCAGAACTTCCATCTGAACACATGGACATTAGGCAGAGATTAGGGCAGGGCTGTGTACTTACCATTTCTTGCTTCACTTTGACTTCTACATATATTCAAGCAAATACTTGAATTCAAGCACTTAACTCAATTCCGCTTGTTCTTCCATTTTAAATTCATTAGCAATGTTGCCCAAACTCAGAAATTGGGTTTTGTTAACTATAGTATATGTGTTGTGTTCACATAACAAAATTAATCCACATTTATCTAAAATTTCTTGTCTCAAAGAAAATAAGTAACAAAGCAAAGCTGCTTAATCTAAGCCAAACGAAAGGTAGTTTATAAAATCAGGGGGTGTGAATACATTTTTCCAAAAGGAAGACTACTCCCCGTCATGCACATATACATACATGAGACAAAAGTTTCATCCATTTTTCTCAATTTGGCTCCCTTCAGCCATGTGGTCTTTAAAATCCTCAATTGTCAATGCTAGTTGGAGAAATTGGGGAACTGAAGCTCACCAATCCAGATTAGATTGAGACTGGAGAAATCCAACAGAATAGTTTGTCTTCATTATATGCATAGTACAGGCAAGTAACATACCAACTGATGCACAATGCATTTATCTACACTAAAAAATGAGTATATGTGAGGATACGTTATCTGGCTTTCTGAAAAAAAGTGACCTTGCAACTGTATTTGCACAAGTTAATTTTCATACCCTTTTAACTAGTTCAGAAACTTAAAACTAGCACATAATTCAGCAGTCAAATTAGCATCAGGAAGAAACTGCACCGAGGATCCATTTGATCCAGGAAAACTACAAAGGCTAATCATTATTTTAAAAACCCTTTAGAGGTTACTAGAATAAAGCCACTTGGGAAAATACTTTTTTGCATTTCTTTCTCTGCCCATAAAGAAATTATCACAGCTTCTAATCTTTGGGTGGCATTTTGAGTTCAACGAGATTTAACTACTTTGTCTACTTTTAAAAAATCCATTAAAATCACATTTAAATCAGAGCTTAAATTATTTTTATCTTATAAGTCTTAATTCTGGTTTCTTTTCTGAAGGATTAGGATATTATAAAATAAATAATAATACAGACCATGACTGTCTAAATAACTTTTTATCCAGTTTCTTCATTATAAAGTCCATAACAAAAAGGTGCAGATACCTAGCTTCTGGACCAATACCAGCACAACATAATTTCAATCAAAGTAGGATATTTAGCATCTAGCCTTAAGATACATATCCATGACTATCTTAAACTACTGTTTTCAGTAATGTTTTCAGAATTCAAATAGAGTGGTGGAAGGTGTCCAGTGATGTGATATTACTTGGTTCCCAGGATAAAAAGGCTGCACCTTTTTTTTTTTTTTTTTTGCAGAACTAAACAACTTTGAAATGAGTGTGTTTTGTCTGACAGTTTTGTTTTAAGTAGATCCACCTACAGGAATCCATTTCAAGTGTTTCTACATTTCTATAAAATATAACTGAAAGACTATGTATGGAAACGTTAACAGGAAAACTAAGACTGCTTTTAAAAATCCAATGCATATGAAGGTTTTATATTTTTTGGCTTTGTTTTAGATGGGAAGAAAATTAGTGTACCGGTCACAGCCTCCAACGACTAAGCACGAAGCAAAACAAGCTACAGATGCAACTACAAAAAGTGAAGATGATTACTACTTCACTTGATATTCTTGTGTAAGGTGTATTTTTGTACTAGTTATAGATCTTGCTCCTAGCTTAGTCCAACTGAATCATATAAAGTAAATGGTGATGGAATAAGTCTGATCCCATTTGCTTTAAAACATTTGTATTAAGGCTAAATAATCCCAGTTTTTATACTTGTTTATCTTTCATATTGACTGTTTCTTTCAACAATATGTATTTTTATACCCCCAAAATGTAAAGTTACAAAACATGTAATTTTTTCAAAAGCTACAACTGAACATGTATTTTACACATTAAAAAACACAAGATTTTCCAACATTATTCTCTCATTTCTCCATCTTCTTCTTCTTCTTCTACACCCCTTATGTATAGGACATTGTTGCACCTGGCAATAAAAAGTTATTTTTATTATTATTCACATGAATTAAAAAAAGACTGTTTTCTCTAGCTGATTTGCTTTCAATTTAAATTCTGTATTTGGTGTTATGGTTAATATTAAAACTACTTTTTATTGAATTTGTGTCATTATTGTAATACATTTTTCTATTACTGTCAAATACACTAAAGAAACAGTGCTTTATAAAGAATGAAATTGTGAAACGAGCAAACTTTGGCTCATGCAACAGATCTTTCTAGTATTTTGCTTAACCAGACCTTTGCCTTCCATTTTAATTTGCCATTAAAATCATGGGGGAGGGAACATGTTTTGGCGGTGCAAAGGAAATTCAGGAGAGAGGAAGAAACATATTTTTTTGATTGTTCAAGGAGGGTCATGTAACTAAATTTCATTTAGCAACTTAACAGAAAATTTAAAATCAAAACTTTATTATAGCACTAAAATATTTGATTAATGCACTTTTTCCAATATAGGTAGTTGTCAATTGATGAGCACAATTGAGCCCAAAATTTTCATTGCTAACCAAGAAAGTTGTTAAGTGAGTTTTGCCCCATTTTACAACCTTTGCTGCCGCAGTTAAGTGAATCGCTGCAGCTGTTAAGTTAGTAACACAATTCTTAAGTGACCCTGGTTGTCAAAAGGTTGCAAAAGGTGATCACATGACCCTGGGACAGTAAAATTTTGCTTATGTGACAATGGGGATGCTGCAACAGTTGTAAGTGTGAAAAACGGTTATAGGTCACTTTTTTCAATGCCATTTTAACTTCGAATCATTACTAAACAAATAGTTGCAAGTCAAAGACTACTTGTACCAAGTAGTCGTCCTTAGCTTATGATGGCAACAGGGACTGAAATGTCTTAAGCGATGTGGTTGTAAAGCATACCATCACATGCTTACAAACAGCATTTCCAACACTCCTGGTTGCCACTGTCATTTTCAGAACCGTGTAGATTATAAAGTGAGGACTTCACCTGATTGTAATGTGGAAGAGATATAAGTCCCAGGCAAACAGGCCAATGGGTGAAAGTTGCCAATGAAAACTTTGGGCAGGCAGATGCTACAGAGTGCAGGCAGGTAGGTGCAGGCAAGCACTATGGTGTGTGGGGAAAGTACTATGGAGCACAGATGAAAAAGTAGCAAGAGTAGGAGTGACCAACAACCTTCTACCAGCTTTCTCATTGACTTTCCTTGTTGGAAGCCAGCAGGGAAGGTTGCAAATAGTGATCACATGACATTGGATGCTGCAACCATCATAGTTTCAGGTTGGTTGTCAAATTCCCAAATTGTAATTACGTGGCAGTGTGGCTGCTATGATACCCGTATTTCACAGAGCAGTCTTAAGTCCCCCTCATGCAGCTGTGTTTTAACTTTAAACAGTTGCTGAATCAATAAACTACTTGTAGTTGATAAAGGTTATTTGTTAGATTTATAACTCAAAATTTCTCCCAGAGTTTAAGGCATATCACATGGAGGGCTCCTCTCAATTGATTTCCACAATTATCTGGCAAGATAGGTGCAACACACATCTGGCAATGTAGTAATAGGCCCAATACTTTCTAATAAATTTCCTGTGAATTTTAACTTGTCTGTTTTCATCCAGCACTTCAAGCATTTTTACCACACTACTTCATTTTAACCCACTCAGTTACATGCAGAAGTTACCTTATCAGAACTTCGCCAAGATGTCCCGACAATGCACCATCAATATATTCCTCTGTATTGGCAAGCTTTACAAACAGAAATGAGTATTACTGGATAGGAGAGTCACATGTATTTCAATCCATACTTAACATTTAATAGAAGTTCAAATATTTAGTACTCTAAATTGGTGGTTCCCAAAGTATGAACTGATTTCTGAGATCTTACAAGGAGTCTATCATGGGGTGTGTGTGTGTGTGTGTGTGTGTCCTTAATTTATTTATTTATTTTATTTATTATTTATTTTTAAAATTTATAAGCTGCCCCACTCCCAGAGGACTCTGGGTGACTAACAGTAAAAACACATAAAACATAACAAAACGAACAGCACAAGAACAGTCATTCAGGGGTCAGATTTTATAAACCCCAGGCCTGCCGGAAAAGCCAGGTCTTAAGCAGCTTACGGAAAACCAACAGGGTGGGAGCGGTCCTAATCTCCGGGGGGAGCTGGTTCCAAGAGGTGGGTGCCATCACAGAGAAAGCCCTCCTCCGCGGCCCCGCCAAATGGCACTGCTTGGCCGACGGGACCTGAAGGAGGCCCAGCCTGTGGGATCTAACCGGACGAAGGGAACTATGAGGTAGTAGGCGGTCTTGCAAATAGCCTGGCCCTTAATGGTTGCAAAAATGCGAATCCCGGGCATATTTGTTCAATAATGCAGTCCTCGATCTCTGGGAAAAGTATAAACTAGTTGTTTATTGTTAAAACAATACTTAAAACAATAAAAACAGTTATATACAAAGTTAAAAACCAACTTAGCTTTCACTGATCCTCTGCTAGTGTCCTCAGAGTGAGGCTCAGGGGGTGGGGAGGTTCTTTTTATACCCTTGCCGATCTAACTGCTTACTCATTGCCCGTGTGATAGGGCCATTCTTCCTGATTGCCTGTAATTGCCTTAGTCGTCCCGCCCCCTCTTTTTTGCACTCCAATTTTGCACTTTTCTCCTCTGTCAAGCCTCCCCTCCCCATACTGCTGCTGCTGATGTACTCTCCAATCGCTCTCTCCTGCTCGTTATGGGGTACACTTTCCGATCCGGTATTACCAGAGTCCTGCCATGGGGTTTTCCCTTTTTATTCTCCTTGCTGGCCTGTTGGTCTACATGCCGTTCCTGCATTCCAACATCCATTCCTGTCCAACCTCCCTCTTCCAGTTTTTTCGATCTCCGGGAAAAGTATAAACTAGTTGTTTATTGTTAAAACAATACTTAAAACAATAAAAACAGTTATATACAAAGTTAAAAAACAACTTAGTTTTCGCTGGTCCTCTGCCAGCGTCCTCAGAGTGAGGCTCAGGGGGTGGGGAGGTTGGACAGGAACAGATGATGGATTATTGAATGTGTGTGTGTGTGTGTGTGTGTGTGTGTGTGTGTGTATCCATTACAGGGCACCTTAGCTGACACATATGGTGATCAAGAGATACTTCAGTATATCAGGTGGCAGAGAGAGAGAGAGAAAAAAGTAGGCTGGTTTAGTAGATGGAGTAGGAGGAAGCACATTAGCTTCCTTCAGAGAGTTCTTCCTGGTCAGTGCTATTTCTGTCCTTCCCTGTATACAATATATGTTATCTATTCTTGCTGTTGCCACACTCCTGGCATCATATATGGCTATGATCCACATAAGCTTTCCATACTCTCAGATAACAAAAGCAATGTTATTGTGTATGTGCTGCCAGACTTACCCAGATAATTGATGGTGCATCCTGCCTTCTGCCAATGCCCTTCTCCCACCACCTTCTCCCACTAAGTTGACACCCACCAACTTTAATAACAGTTTGTGCCAATAGTGTTTTTTCTCTGTGCCCTTTTCTCACTAGAAAGGTCATAATTCAGAAGCTCCCTATAGAAATGGAGGAAGTAGCCCTGATCCATGCTTGCAGTCCCGCTCAGTCAAGAGCATCGCCAAAGCAAAGGTCTCTTCCTTGGTATCCACCACTGCACACACCCTCAAATGGGGAGTCAGAGCAAAACAGAGAATGTACTGGCTTCTCTATGCCAACACAAAGGATTTCTTCAGCCAAAAAAGAAAATAATTTGTTTTATAATTAAAAATTTTCTAATTTATTTTTAACTTTCTTTAACCTTTTCTGAAAAAGTGTGCATTTAGAAATTTAATTCACATGATTTAATTCACAGTTTTTGATTTTTATCTATTTCAGTCAATAGATAAAGGCAAAGGTAAAGGTTTCCCTGTCCAATCCTATCCGACTCTAGGGGGTGATGCTCATCTCCATTCTTAGCCAAGGGAGGCAGCATTGTCTGAAGACACCTTTGTGGTCATGTGGCTAGCATGACTGATAGAAATACAAAAGGTATACAAAGTAAAATTACTATCATATATGATATGCAAACTTTTTTTGTTGCAAAGATCTTCAAAACAAAGGTAACAACTGTCCTGAATTTAATATACAAATAATGAAAATGTGAAGTTATTATTTAAGAAAACTTTGCTGTACTACCTAACAATATCTGTGTACATGCAATTCTCTGTAGGCTGATGAGCCCCAGGAAGAAAGATGATCACAGCAGTCTGTTTATTTTCCATTCGGGCCATGGAAGAAGAGTCCCCTCTTCTTTGTCTATCATGTAATAAAAATAGACTGTTGAACATGGAACAGATAAGTCTGTTCTTCCTTTAGCAGCCAGCCTAGTAGGAACTGGGATATTTGACTGGGGTTTTGGTAAACTAAGAATCCAATTTATATTTGAATGCTATCAACAAAGGAGACCTCCCCTCTTCTTTATTAACAATAACACTGCACAGTGTGAATGCTTAAAAATATAAACAACAAAGCATGAATCCTTTATTGAACCCTATTCGATAAAATAGAGATTAACCTGATTGCCAAATTTAGCAATTGGGCTTTGCATTTTGGTTTTTTATTTCTGCATTCATATAATTCAATGCTATATTTGCACAGATTAAGCCTCAATTTATTTGCTCAAATCTAATCCCTTACTGTCCTTAGGTACAGCACAGAAGTAGCATCTTCTCCCTATATTTTCATCAGTTGAATAACATGGATATTTCTTCTAGCTTGACTTACCTGCATATTCATGTAGCCATCAACTGATACAAGATAGCCCTTGTATTCCATTCCCCACTTCAATTTCACCATTACTGGCTTCCCAGTTAGCCCGTTTAGAAATGGCTTTGGATTGAGAGGCAAACTCTGCATAGATAATAAAATAAGAACAAGACAATATTATAGCATTTCAACAACTGTTGCCAAAATACACCTTTAATTCTATAAATGCCAGATAGGAAACTTTTATTATGACAGTTATAACCTAACCTAGTGGTCTCATTATTTGAGACCTTTTCCAGAGATGTGTTAAAGATTATGGAAATTATAGTGCAACCACTCTGAAAACAGCCAAATCGGTGATTGATGGGTACTTTAAAAATGTTTAATGTTGTTTTAAAACTTGTAGACATAATTACATGTTGTGTTATCTTAGTACATCCCAAAGTTAACTGTACAAAGATGTGTTGTCTCAAGTCTTTCACAAATCATTTCGTACTTCAGTTCCAGCACCATAGTATCATCCAGACCATGAATACTTTGATAAACCATTAACTGGCCTTATTTTACTGTCTTTTAAACTTTAACTAAACAAACTCCATATACTGTGACAAGAACCATATACAATATTTTAATTATAATCAATCCATATATTTATCAGAAGGCATTCTAACATGGAATCTTATTTTTAATTACCCAGGAGAGATATGCTGGGGTCCCATCTCTAAAGGAATTCCACCTGATGGGACTCAAGCAACATGCTGCTGCTGTGGTCCATATCCTTGGGAACATAATCCCACCACCATCCCTTAGCCCATTTCTGGAAGGCCCTGAAAGTAGAGTTTCTCCGTCAACCTCAAGGATTTCATGCAAGGTAGTTGTATGAATCCAGTGACTGCTGTTCTGCAATCTTGGTTTTATGTTTTTTCATTCTAATTATGCTCCACTTTGAAATTGTTAGGTAATTTAATTGTTATGTTTGTGCACTGCCCAGAGTCATGTTTTTATGAGATGAGTGGCTATATAAATGTGCTAAATAAATAAAATGTATGTATGTATGCATGCATGCTCCCGCATGGTGTAAATAAAAGTTGCAAGCAATTTCCATAAAAAGTAAATCCCATTCTTCACCCCACAAGATGCACGGATATACACCCACACAGAAAACCAGGAATCTGCAAATACCAGGATAGTCCATTGGCCATTCTAAGCTCGGTACTACATACAATAGCCTTTCCCAACTGGTGGGTCCATTCGGCTAGAAGTGATAAGAACTCTATCCCAACACATCTGTTGGAATAAGCGTATATTAACCTGCAGGGTCGGGGGTACAGTAACCCACAGCATCCTGCCAATACTGCAGCCAAGAGGCTCTTTCGAAACCTCGTTCCCAGATGCATCACCCCGAACCCGGGACCTCCCGAACGCGCTCCATGTCTCCCCTCCCCTACTCACCATAGCAACCCGGCCAGGCAAGGGGCAGCTACGACGACTGCAAAAATTATTCGGGGGCAACACGTGCGCCCGCCAAACTTGCAAAAGAAAAGGCCAGGAAGTGACGTCACACACCGTCTCTTTCCTCGAGCAAAGCTTTCCTGTTGACCTTTCACCTGAACGGAATAATATTTCCCGTCCTGTTGATAGACTTACACATTTTTTTTTCCTATCTCTATGATCCACCCGAAGGCAGGAAGCAAAGGCACTCTCCGATAGGGGGCTTTTCAGAGACAAAGCGGATGGGCGGGGATAGAGAAGTTGAGTTTGATTGAAGCTGGAGACACAGTAAAGAGTGGCGGCCGGTTGACCTCCACGCAGTGCCTGTTAGGCGGTATGTTCTATAGTGGAAATCAATTGGGTTCGCACAGCGGACTAAACTATTAGCATAAACGTATCAGCCGCAATGAGAATGCCTGCGATGAGTTCCGTGGGCTTAGCGTATCAGCCGCAAAGAGAATGCCTGCTATGAGTTCCGTTGGCTATGATTTCTACAGTGAGGTCCTCCAGTCTTTGTCATCCATTGCAAAAACGGGCAGTGCCCATTAGTGAAAGTAAAAAGTCTGTTCTATTTGAGGCTGAAGCCAAGTGCAGTTGCCAGCTACAAAGGTGCATAACTTTCTCATTGAACGATTTGAAATATTTTCGTTAAAACTCCTGCCTAGCTTTCCTGCAATTGAGCCTGTGGAGCGGGTCTAAAGAAGAGTAATTGCTCTAATGCTAACTGTTGTGCGCCCGTTTATAAGACCCGTCCCTTTCAGCAGCGAATGATTCATTATTAACCGTGTAGTGGTGGGCATGTTTGCTTCGGAATTTTCCACACATCCTTGTCACCATGGCAGAAAAACCTTTTTTTTACTGGTTGTAGAAGACATGTCCTTCCAACGTCACTTCTTATCTCAGAGCCAAGCTGAGGCAGCTGGAACAGGTTTAGTAAGGTGACCAATCATCCCCCTTTAGGAAGGACAGTCCTTCTTTTGTAAGTTCTGGCCTCTCTCGAAAAGTATCCTCCTACATGTCCTCCTTTTCGATATTTGAAGACTAATCTGTAAATCTCCGTATTCGGTCGATGCCGAGCCGCTCTGTTGCTTGTGATGTGACGTATTTGTATTTGACATGACGATTCGTCAAGGTTCAGTACAGTGCGGCAAGATATGATTATGAGACGCATGCGCTCCACACAGAAGAATTGTTTTGAGTGTGGCATGCGCAAGTGTGTGCTGCATGCAAGTGGTTTTGTTTACTTCTTACCAAAACATGACATGGCACACATGCATGCATTAGACCAGTGGTTCTCAACCTTTTTAATGCCACGACCCCCAACCGGTCGTAAGTCAAGGACTACTCAACTGGTGCAGCACCGTTTGCAGAATGGGACTTTTGGCAGGCTCAGCAGGGCAGAGACAGCCTGGACAATTCCTATTGGCTTTTGAAAGCCAATAGAATTAGACTCTATTCAAGAGAGTCTATTCTATTGGCTTTCAAAAGCCAATAGAATAAAAGGGAGTAGCACAGCTAAGGAAAAGGGGGAAAAAATGGTGGACTGCGTTGTTTGGCGACTCCTGTGAAATGGTCGTTCGACCCCAAATGGGGTCCCGACCCACAGGTTGAGAACCACTGCATTAGACTCACTTTTTTTTTCTTCAATTTATTTGTGTCCTCCTTCTCATTGTAAAAAAGTTGGTCACCTTAGCGTTTAGATACTCCGGTATAAAAGTTGTTGTTTTTCCTCCCATAACAACTCAACAACTACAGTGACATTTTATCATGTTTCGTAGACATGAAATAAAGCCAAAAATTTTGGGGTACAAATATATTTACTAATTCAGAATATTTTAAAGACACGTACAATTGAAACTAGGGCGTTTCTTTAGGGACTAATGGATAGAGAGTTTGAAAAATATCATAAATGTTGTTTTTATACAGTATACATGTTCAAAAGTGGAAATGTTCAACATTATACACAATAGAGGAATAGTTGGTGAAGATAATAGAAGATGATTGTTAGACTTACTTCCTTGATTAGAGCAAAGATAATATATTTATTGCTGACTGGAAACTCCTTATAGACTTTTTGCATGAAACAGAAAAACATGAATTGATGAATTGTAGTTTGATGATTAAGGAAAAAATTAGATAATAGAGAAAAAGAGCTTTTTGTTTTCATTTAATAAGATATAATTTAGTACTTGCATTTGCTGCAAAGAAAATCAAAAAGTAGCAGAGTTTATGAGATAATTTTCTCCTGGCTCTAAGAAATAAAAGAAGCACAGCAAAGTGGCTGTTTGAATAATCCCTTAGAAATAAGCTCCATGTAACCAGTTGATTGTTACTTAAAATGACAATCTAGAGTGCACTGAGGAGGGCCCTTGGGATGAACTGAGCAAGGTTGTCATTCTGCTCAACTCCAGTTCTCTTAGCAAGTCTTCTGTGAGACTGCCCTGAACCTCAGTGCTATCAGAGCCATTTGGCTACTCTTGCAAGAAAGAACAGTCTGATTTCTTCTTTTGGGAGAAGGTTGAACATGGGGATACTGTATCAATCTTATGGAAGATTCAGTGGATTTTCTAGAAGATATTTATTCCCATTGGTTAAAAAAAACCCCTAGAAAATATTTGTCCTTAAAGATTCCGGAAGATTCATATCAGCTCCTTCCCTCACAAGATGCAATTGCTTTGCCAGCCTGCATAACCTTCTGATATATAGATTTCAACTTTCAGAATTCTCTGCAATGGTCATCCTCCTTCAGAATTCTGGGAAAGCTTAAGTAAGTTAAGGAATCAAACAATCTTGTAACATTACAAATTTATTACAACAATAGAAATACTTTAATTCCTGAACTATACTTGTTTTAAACTAATTGTTATGTAAGTTGCTTCCTCTAAAGTTATTTCCAAGCTGGACAATATTTAAGAACATAATAATCAATGGTCATATTTTAATTGTTCCATCAGAAAAAAAATTATTAGTGTATGAATGGCGTCTATTGTTATGATCTTGTATAGCGGGGACACTTTACTAAGAAACATCTGTAAAGCTTATATATCTTAGCTTATTTTTTATTGTCAAGAATAAATCTATTGTGCTGAATTATTTCTACTGGAAATGGCCTGGTATTATTATTTTTATTGTCTCTATGTGTATAGGTATAAATATAATGTCTTTGCTTTGCTACTGCAGTTTAAAGGTTAAACAATATATGGTGCATTATTAATTTAGAGCAAATTGGATTTCTGGAAAAGTAGATTTGTTGTGGTTGTGAAAAACATTAGATCCATGACATCATTTAAATATGTGTCTAAAGATTATAGGTTATAATGAGTCACTGATCTCTTCCATCAAGCAAAACCAAAAGCAAAAGTCCCAAGGTTAAATAGATTTTATATGGAATGTTGATATGTATAAGAGCATGCATACATATTGCAGAACCCAGATACATTATAATTGATAAGGATGCAAAATAACAAGAACTGAAGCATGGGTATCATTCAAAGTATGAAGACACTACAATAACATTCATTGAAATGTAACAGAGCAGCTTTGATATACAAAAAGTGTTAAGATATTTTAACAAGCAAAGAATCAGAAGAAGTCTAGTAGCACCTTTTTTGGTTAATGAATTATATTTAACAACTTAAGCTTTTTTGAGTTACAGATCACTTCATCCGATGCTATGGGATGACTAGACTGATGTAGGGTTTAAATTGGGATGAGATGTGCGAAAGGAGGGGAAGATAGAAAACAAAGTGATTCTGTGAAATACATTATTTTATCAAACAAAGTGATTCTGTGAAATACATTATTTTATCAATTAACAATTGTAAATATACATTTGTAAACCTTTTGAAGTACGTGAGTTCCACAATCTCTAGCTCTATTGTACTGGGGAATTTTTATTTTCCAAGATAAGAATGAGATCTATAATGGATTGTCCCAGGAAGTTAAAATGCTTTGATATTATTTGATTCTTGCTTGAGTCCTGATGCCATATTTGTGTCCATTAATTCTTTTATACAAAATATGATCTATTTGTTCTGTGTAGAATCCAGAGGGCCATGCTAGCAGATGATGGCATATATTATATTAAAGGAAAGCATGGGGTGGTACTTCTAATCTTTTATGCAAAGTTACGATGGTCCTCTTGATGTGGGGCATTGTTATTCCAACAAGCTGACTATGTACTTAATTGCTAAAGAGATAGAGAAGCAATCACTACACAGCTTTGAATTTGTTCCATTTCACTAAAAACTTAAATTCTGCAAATATTAGTGTTAATTGGCAAAACTTGGCAAAACTATAAAGAATTCTCACAATTAAATGAACTAAAGAATAAATGATACTGATTACAGTACATACCTTGAAGTTAACTTATAGCAAACGTGTTTTTGTTTCAATTCTATTTCATCCCTCCATAAAAAGATAAAATTAAAAAACTCATAGCCTATTATTAAATCTTAGAAACTATGCATTGTGCTGTTTTTATGGATAAAAAAATCTAAAGGTTTTTTCATTAACCTTTTCAGAACAAATATCCAATCTGAAAAAGTTTTGATCCATCTGTGATATCATGATCTGTCTAGGCTCATTTCAACTCATGGCAGTTTCAGAAGGTGAAACTTGATTATCAAAATTAAAGAAAAATATTCATCATCCTGACATTTGTGTCAACATAAAACTAACTTTAGGAATGTATATAATATATATGATACTGTTTAGCATATTACCAACATGAATTTAAAAAGCCATTTGATTTATTCATTGAAGACTATGAAAATCTAACATTTTGCAAATAGAGTTTGTTCTGATTGTATTAGAAATAGCTCTAGCAAAATACGATTTATATTAATGTACAGGTTTGAACAGATGTAGGTCAGTGGTAGAGTTAATTTTTTCTTCAAAACTAAGACTAGTTTGCCGTGCTTGATTTTAAAGTACAACAAACTGACCTCACTGGTGAAAATGTATAGCAGTCCCACATTTAAAAAAAGAAAAGTAAAAAATTCATGTATTGGAATCTGACTATAGATAATATATTAGAATGTATTAAGTATAGTAGACTAAGTGGGATAATTTGGAAAGAGATGCTCTTAGAAATATCTGGGATATAAAATATACAAGGAATTAGATATTTTGGTGTGTGGTAAAT